AGAGGACACTGGTCAGGAATATAGAATTGCATGTGGTGCAGTGTGATGAAAAGACTCAGACCCAGACCAGAGTTTCTACATAACCCAGGTGCACCAGATTTCACTAGACCCAGAAGTACCTGTAAAGTCAACCATTAAACCCTGAGCTGCACAAAAAGTCTTCTCTAGGGAGTCAGAAGCAAAGCAGCAATTTAGTTAAACCACACAGCTCGAGTACTGGTCCCCACAGGAAGTTCCCCCATTTTAGAAGTAAGCAAAGGACAACAAATTAGTTTCAGCAGAGTTTAAGTGGTGGGAGCAGCAAATAATCCAACACAGAGCTGATAGAAAAAACAAAGTACCCACAACTGGAGACAAAGTTTGATATTAAGTAGAAAAGGTCTCATTTCACCAGAGAACACCTATAACACCTAGAAGGACCAGAAGTCCCCTGGGCTAGCAAGCCAGAAAGGGGGTTAGGGCTGGAGCCTTGGCCATGCCCCCTGACACTCACAGCCAGTCCCGAGGGTGGGGATCAAGGGCCTCAGCCAAACATGCCAGACACGCATAACCACCCCAGCTACAAGCACCAAGCACTGTAGGAAATGCCCTGGGCTCTCCGGAACCAGGGCAGTGGGGGAACAAGGGCCTCGGCAACACCCCCGTGACAGCTGCATCCAGCCCAGTGATGACCACCGAGCCACTGCAGGAAGTGCCCTGGGCTCTCCCAAACCAGGGTGGTGGGGAGCTGAAGGCCTCAGCCACGCTCCCATGACACTTGCAACCAGCCCAGCGATGACCACCAAGCTGCAGGAAAAAGGGCCCCAGGTTTCCCAGCCCAGCAATGACGAAGCCACCACTGGAAACCCCCCAGTCTCCTCTGTAGGAAAGAAGGGGGTGCCACAGGCCTCAATCCCACCCCTCCTCCTTCCTCCGTCTTTTTTGTTCCATTTCCTTCCACTTTCTCTTCTACCCCGTCCTCCCAACTGCTCTGCAACATCGTAGAATGTAAAAAAAAATTAATAAAATTACATTTAAAAAAAAATACACCAACTATGACCATGTTACCATTTACAGAACCAAAGACTGTAATTGTAACTGTCATGAGTATTTCCTCATTATTTTGTTATGTACCTTTGTTTGGACATACACATATATTAAGTAAAAAAAAAAAAAAAACAACTTGAGGATTCTCACTGAGATGTGAGAAGACTCCCTTAGACAACATAACGAAATAAGAAAAAATAATCCAGGTTATGAAGGAGGAGATTTACAAAAAGATTAATACCAGACAAAAGTATGTAGCAGAACTAATGGAACTGAAAGATTCACTCAAAGAAATAAAAAACACAACTGAGAGCTTAAGCAGCAGGATTCAACAAGCAGACTAAGGAATTTATGACCTTGAAGACAGGCTTTCTGAAATAATCTTGGTAGACAAAAAAAAAAAGGAAAAAAGAATTAAAAATAATGAAGAAAATCTAAGAGAGTTAGTAGACGACTTTAAGTGCACAAACATCTGAATCATGGGTGTTCCAGAAAGGGAGGAGAAAGGAAAAGGACTGAAAATCCCATTGAGTGAAATAACAACAGAAAACTTCCCAGTTATAGGGAGAGACATGGACCTTCAGATCGCTGAGGCTCAAAGATCCCCAAACAGATTCAACCCTAAAATATCCTCTCCAAGACACATTAAAGTCAAACTGGCAAAGCTCAAAGACAAAGAGAGAATCTCAAAAGAAGCAAGAGAAAAAGATCAAATCATGTATAAGGGAGCCCCGTCAGACTAACAGCAGACTTCTCTACAGAAAGTCTGCAGGCCAGAAGGAAATGGGATGACGTATTCAAAATACTAAAAGGAAAGAACTGCCTGTCAAAATTTCTGTACTTAGCAAGGCTGTCCCTCAGAAATGAGGGAGAAATAGTGTATTTTCCGTACAAACAAAATAGTGTATTTTCTATGTTCACCACCACATGAGCAGCCCTACAAGAAATCTTCAAGGGAATCCTGCATCTGGGATCCAAAAAATGATAATGACTACCGTGAATACACAAGACAGAACACAACCCACTGGTAGGACCAAAACGCAGGTGAGAGAGAGAAAGAAACTAAATCTTACCGTCACAGAAAATCATAGTGACAGTGAAAGAAGAGCAAACAAACTCTTCGTCTCTTTGGAAGATGGCAGGGAAACAATTCAGTTTTCTAGAACTAGTAGGTAAAGGGAAGAGTCAAGCATTTGTCCTGTCTTTCCTGTATGAGCTATTCCTCAGGGTGACCATCACTAGCTGAGGGGGGAACATTTCTGTCCATGGAAGTACCCCAGAGAGTAAATAAAGAGGGAATAAAATAATTAGAATATGGCATGTTGCAAACCTCTGTCAAACTTATGAATGTAGCAAGTGATCGTCAATGTCTGCTAACATCAGAGAGGGTCAATCATACATAATGGGCCTCTTGCTGTAGGAACGTGCACCCCTGAAGCCAAATGTAACCTGAGTGGGACCAAGCCTCAGCATCCACCAACCAATCATCATGAAGTGCAGGGGACGGTGGAACATGTTAAATGACACTACTGGGATGGAGCCAGCAAATTCAGACCTTGGGAATCTTTATGGGGTCAAAGAGAAAAAATTAGATGCAGGAGGAACCTATAGATTAAAACAAACTTAAGAGACAGCTGACATTGCAGCCAGTGGAAGAAGCAGAACTTGTTTGGATCCAGATGTAAACAAATCAATTTTAAGAAAGAAAGAAAGGGAGGGGAAGAGAATTGGAGAAATTTAAACCTGTTTAATGTTTGATTATGTTAAGTAATTATTATTGATTTTTAACATGTGATTTTATAGTGTAGTTCTGGCTTTTATAAAAGGGTTCTCAGCTTTTAGAGACATATGCTGAAATACGTACAGGTGAATGCTGTGATACTGGGATTTACTCCAAATAATCCAGGGGGAAGGCAGAACGTGGGTGGGGTATACAAAGACGATAAGATTGGCCATAAGTTGTTGACTGCTGTAGTTAGATTAATGACTACCGTGAATACACAAGACAGAACACAACCCACTGGTAGGACCAAAACGCAGGTGAGAGAGAGAAAGAAACTAAATCTTACCGTCACAGAAAATCATAGTGACAGTGAAAGAAGAGCAAACAAACTCTTCGTCTCTTTGGAAGATGGCAGGGAAACAATTCAGTTTTCTAGAACTAGTAGGTAAAGGGAAGAGTCAAGCATTTGTCCTGTCTTTCCTGTATGAGCTATTCCTCAGGGTGACCATCACTAGCTGAGGGGGGAACATTTCTGTCCATGGAAGTACCCCAGAGAGTAAATAAAGAGGGAATAAAATAATTAGAATATGGCATGTTGCAAACCTCTGTCAAACTTATGAATGTAGCAAGTGATCGTCAATGTCTGCTAACATCAGAGAGGGTCAATCATACATAATGGGCCTCTTGCTGTAGGAACGTGCACCCCTGAAGCCAAATGTAACCTGAGTGGGACCAAGCCTCAGCATCCACCAACCAATCATCATGAAGTGCAGGGGACGGTGGAACATGTTAAATGACACTACTGGGATGGAGCCAGCAAATTCAGACCTTGGGAATCTTTATGGGGTCAAAGAGAAAAAATTAGATGCAGGAGGAACCTATAGATTAAAACAAACTTAAGAGACAGCTGACATTGCAGCCAGTGGAAGAAGCAGAACTTGTTTGGATCCAGATGTAAACAAATCAATTTTAAGAAAGAAAGAAAGGGAGGGGAAGAGAATTGGAGAAATTTAAACCTGTTTAATGTTTGATTATGTTAAGTAATTATTATTGATTTTTAACATGTGATTTTATAGTGTAGTTCTGCCTTTTATAAAAGGGTTCTCAGCTTTTAGAGACATATGCTGAAATACGTACAGGTGAATGCTGTGATACTGGGATTTACTCCAAATAATCCAGGGGGAAGGCAGAACGTGGGTGGGGTATACAAAGACGATAAGATTGGCCATAAGTTGTTGACTGCTGTAGTTAGATTTATTGAATTTTTCATAGTAAAAATTAAAAAAAAAAAAAAGCCCGAAACAAAAGCATGAAAAACAATCTCTCTAAGGAAGTGCCGAAGAATAAACTTGTTACCGCAGCTGTCCTATCTGAGAGAGTGAAGATTTGTGGTTCCCTGGCCAGGACTGCTGTTCAGGAGCCCCTTAGTAAAGAACTCATCCAACTGGTTTCGAAGCACAGAGCTCAAGTAAATTACACCAGAAGCAGTAAGGCTGGAGATGTCCTAGCTGCAGGTGAACATGCATGAACAGGTCCAACCAACTGTACATTCAAAAAAGTAAAACTAAACAAAATGAAAAACAAAAGCTGCTCATTTTTCAGGACAAAAATAAGTGAGAGACCTAAGGGGAATAGGCAAAACCGTAACACTTTTAGATGCTGACATAGATTGCTGATAGACCTCAGGGTAGGGAAAGATTTCTGACACGGAACACAAATGCAGTAACTGCGATGGCTTAAAATTACATACTGGACTACGTTAAAACTAAAAATTGTAATTCTTCAGAAGAGACACCTTAAGAGAGCAAAACACAAGGCACAGTGTGGAAGGTAAGTGCTCTACCACGTAAACAGAGTTCTTTAAAATGAGCATGAAAAAAACAGTGTCACTGAATATCAGGCAAAACACCTGCACAGTGACTCCACAGTGGGGCAAAACTAACAGCCAGAGAGACTGGAGAAGGTGCCCACCTGTGAGTCATCAGGACGACGCACTAGAAGCCACAGGAGGTGCAGGCGCTCCCATCAGAGGCCCCCCTGACAGCACTAGGAGCAGGCAGGAGCGTGGGGCCTCGGGGTCACTCAGGCACTGTGGGGACAACGTGCCTTGCACAGTCACATGGGGAGACACTGCAGCCTCACTGAGATGGAGGTGCGCATGCGTCACAACCCCTGTCCGTCCCTGGAGGAGCCTGTGTCCGCGGGCCTTTCATAGCACGCCACCTGGAACGACCCGTGGAGCAGGGGCAGGATGGATGGAGACACTGTGGTCTTTGTGCAGAGAGGTGATGGGGCTTCTCCAGGCCACACAGCCAATGCAGGGTCTGGAGAGCTTTCTGTCCCCTGCTTCCCTGTTCAGGACTTCTTTGCCCCATGTGACAATTCAGATGTGGATGATGACCGTGACCTCGTATATCTCTCTCTGTCCCCAGAGCCCAAGGTGGTATTCGCCAAGGAGCAGCCTGCGTGCAGTGAGGTGAAGGCTGAGGCGGGAGCCAGTTCCACGCTGAGCTGCAAGGTGGCCCAGGCCCAGACAGAGGTGACATGGTTCAAGGATGGGAAGAAGCTGAGCTCCAGCTCGAAGGTGCGCATGGAGGCCGCAGGCTGCACACGGCGGTTGGTGGTGCAGCAGGCAGGGAAGGCGGACGCTGGGGAGTACAGCTGCGAGGCCGGGGGCCAGAAGGTCTCCTTCCACCTGGATGTCACAGGTGAGTCCTTTGGGGCACTAAGTTAGCGTGTTTGGGAGAGATGATGAGACTGACTAATAGCCACAATGAACCCTGGTGCTGTTGCCATTAGACTTCATCTCTTCAAGCGTCCCATGCTTCCTGTTCCTGTTTTTACACACATGGCTGGGCCAAGTGAGGGGAATGGGAGGGGTGTGTATGGAAAAGAGGGGCTGTTCTTGTATACCTCGAGTGTTGCTTGTGTGTGGTAATGCTTTATTACACATTCTTAGCACCTTCCCAGAATCTTCCTGGTATTCTTTGGTGTTCAGGGTTCTGGCTGTATCTGGCCCTTTTGGTCTGAGGTTGACCAGGGATCTCTCACCTTGGGCTTTGTGAATTTCCTTCTGTTGAATGTTTCAGCAGCTTCCACATCCCTCATCCAGCACCACATGCAGGTCCTTGCTAGGGAGAGATGTTTGCATTTCAGTCCATTGGGATAAGGGGAAATTCCAGCCACCCAGTCACACATAGAATCACCCCAAGACTGAACTATGGGTTATTGAAGCTTTAGATGTTTTGGGACACTCCATCCTTTTTTCACATGGAGATAGAAGTTATCTTTACACCCATAAAATCTAGGTCTGTATTTTGTTGCAATGGCTGTGCAAAGTAAACAAAGACCAGAGGTTGGTAGATATGTTACATTTATAGATATAGTTAGGTTTGGAATTCTCTTTTTGAAGTAAGTCTTTTCTTCCTTTTGTCTTCAGTTAGAGCATTCTGTGTCAGTATTCTTGGAGTTTGATTTATACACTCAGAAATGGGAAAGAATAAGTAGCTTACATGAAATCACCACACTTTAATGATGAGTTCCTCTAGTAACAGCCACTGTCTATAATGCAGTATTTATTTTATAGAATATCCTAATAGTGTGTCTGTGCCTCCCTGGACGGTTCATAGAGTGGTCTGTGAAGTAAATTTATTTTCCTCTCCTTTAGAGAGTCTTAATGTCAGATAACATAGGCTGCCATCCTACATTGACCTCTAGGTGCCGTCATGTCACAGTTTGGTATTATATCAGTATATAATGGCTTTTGGGTGTGTGTAGATACCAAAAAACTCACTCTGTGTCTTTGTCATATTCTATTTTAAAAGAATATGACAAATTATTTTATGGTAATTTGAAAAGTTTTAACCATTTGACCAGTTCCAAGAAAACATCAAAAATGACACGAGAAGAAATAGAAAACTCAAACAGTCCTACAACATTTTCAAAAATAGAACAATAAAAATTGTTTTCTCATAAAGAAAGGTTGAAACCCAGTGGATCTAGTGATAAGCTGTACCAAATATTCTGGCACAAAATTATTCACGTTCATGGAGATTCTTCTAGCAAATAGAAAAAGGAAATACACTCTCCAAATAGGCTTCTGTAGAAACATAACATGGATACCAAAATATGAGAAGGAATGTAATGAGAATCAAAATTACAGGCCAATCTATTGTGGATATCAAGGCAAAATGTTAGCAAACTGAGTTCAGCAGTACACCAAGAGGATAATATACTGTGCTGAAGGTCAAAGTCACAGAGTGCAAGCCTGGTTTAGATTTAGAAACATGAGCAAATTACCATAAAGCATGACATTATCAGAGTGAATGAAAAAAAAGTGATTATCTCAATAAATGTAGAATAAAGGCATTTGATAAAATTTAACATTGTAAGTCTAAAAGTAATGTTTGATAAAATTTAGCATCAATTTGTGCCATAAAATTCTTCACAAACTATAAATCAAAGTGTCCTTTAGGGTCAGCCCATGGCTCACTTGGGAGAGTGTGGTGCTGACAACACCAAGTCAAGGGTTAAGATTCTCTTACCAGTCATCTTATTGGGGAAAAAAAAAAAAGTGTCCTTTAATTTGATAGATGGTACTACAGAAAACACCAGGTAACTTTATATTTAAAAAGAACCTTGAAAATTTTCCCTTTGAGATAGGGAACAGACAAAAAAGCCACCTGCCACCACTTCCACTCAACATTTCAACATTGTACATCAGAGTAAGGAGAGAAATAAAGTAAAAGTCTTAACAGTTGGAAAGCACATAAGTGAAATTAACAAATTATATGAATATCAATTCAGAAAATCCAAAAAATAAGTTATTAGACTTCGTAAGAGAGCTGAGAAAGATTGTGTAGAAAATAAATACACAAAAGGCACTCCTATATGTACGAGCAACACTGTTGGAAATTGAAATTTTAAAGTTTTTACAGTCGCATCAAAGGTGTAATATTTATAATTCCAAGTTTAAGATCTCAGTGGAGGAAAGAAAATAGGTAAACATTTTTGAGAGACAATAAGAAGATCTAAATAAATGACTACAAATCCAGGGAAGACAAGTTCACGTCCAATCAAAATTCAAGCAAATGTTTTTCTTTGGGGGGTTGAAAATTGAGAAGCCAATTCCAGTGATCAGACCACCATCTGCTCTTGAAGGAGAGCCACATGTGAGTATTCATCTACTAGATATCAGAATTGCTGTATAGCCACAGTAATAAAGATAACCAAGTCACAGGGCAGGGACAGTTATCAGATCAAAGCAACAGAATAGTGGGCTCATAATCACGTCCATGAATAAGTGGGTTCCTCCTTATTTTTAAAAGGTTTATTACGTATATTTATATTTACAATCACAGCCATGTAGGCAATGGACAAAAAAAATTTTTTTTTATCATAAATGGTGCTTTGATCATTTAAGCATATAAAAAATTGGATTAGTAATTCACACTACACTTGTAAGAGAACTCCAACTGGGTTAGAGATCACGATATAAAAGGTAGCATCAAATAACCTTTGGATGATAACATCACGTCCTTAAAACTTCAGGGGAGGGCTGGCTAGTTAGCTTGGTTGGTTAGAACACAGTCTTATAACACCAAGGTCATGGGTTCAGATCCACGAGCCAGCCAGATGCCAAAAAATAACAAGAACAAAAAAACAAAACAAAAAAGCTTCAGGGGAAGGAAAGATTTCTTAAATACAACTCAAATACACAAAGCACAGTGGAACAAGTTCTTATATTTGACTACACTAAAACTTAAAGTTTGATTCAACAAAGATACCGTAAGAGTGAAAATTCAAGTCACATAGATGGATAAGATATTTTCAAAATAAATAAATGTCACATCACTAGCTTTGAAATCTATCAAGTGCTCTTAAAAATGAAAACACACAAAGAAAGGCACAAGGAAAAGACAGAGAATGCTATTGGAGATTGGGCAGAAGCCTGAACAGTGGCAGCACACAAAAGTGAACACTGTGGCTAGGGAGACTGAAGAAGGTGCCCACCTTGTGAGTCATCAGGATGACGCACTAGAAGCCACAGGAGGTGCAGGCGTTTGCACCAGCGGCCCCCAGCTGACAGTACCAGTAGCAGGAAGGAGCATGGGGCCTCAGGGACACTCAGGCGCTGTGGGGACAACATGCTCTGCACAGTCACGTGGGGACACGCTACAGACTCAGTGAGGTGGAGGTGTGCATCCATCCCTCCCCTCAAGAGCCTATGTCTGGGCATTTCATAGTGTCCCCACCTGGAAAGACCCAGGGAGCAGGTCCAGGTCACATTGTGGTCATTGTGCTGAGAGGCAGTGGGGCTTCTCCAGGCCACATGGTGCAGGGCCTAGAGAACTTTCTGTCCCCCTGCCTCCCTGTCCAGGACCTCTTCCCCCTGTGCGGCCTTCCTGACTTAGATGTGACTGTGACCTCCTGCCTTTCCCTCTGTCCCCAGAGCCCAAGGCAGTGTTCGCCAAGGATCAGCTGGCACACAGCGAGGTGAAGGCTGAGGCGGGGGCCAGCGCCATTCTGAGCTGCGAGGTGGCCCAGGCCCAGACGGAGGTGACCTGGTACAAGGATGGGAAGAAGCTGAGCTCGAGCTCAAAGTTGCGCATGGAGGCCACGGGCTGCACGCGGCGGCTGGTGGTGCAGAAGGTGGGGAAGGCGGATGCCGGGGCGTACAGCTGCGAGGCCGGGGGCCAGAGGGTCTCCTTCCGCCTGGACGTCACAGGTCAGTCCCTTGTGGTTCTGCATTAGCCTTGGTTGGAGGTGATGATGGGACTGGTTTGTAGCTCCAAGGGACCCTGCAGGTCTCCCCATTAGACTTCATCTCTTCACTTCTCTCATCTCCCCACCTCCTGTTGTGATGCCTGTGGCTGAACCAGCAGATGGATGGAAAGGGAGCTTGAGAAGGGTTAGGGGCCCTTCTTGTACCCCTGGAGTAGTACTTCCGCCTGTAATGCTTAGTCTCAGTCTCAGGTTGCCAGTACCTGCAGAACCTTCCTGATGCTCCTTGGTATCCAGGATCTGGCTATTTCTGGCCCCGTAGTGTGAGATAGACCAGGTGTCTCTCACCTGTGAATATGTGACTATGCTTCGTTTGGAAGTTCTGGCAGTTTCCAGGTACCCTCAGTCAGCACCATATGAGGGTCCCCCTTTGTATTTGTTAGTTTCTGTTGCTTATAACAGAATACATAGAACTAAATACTTTGTAAGAAAATGAAATTTATTGCTTACAGTTTCAGAGTCTGGGAAGTCCATAGTGCAGGGAACACATCTGGTGGGGGTCTTGGTGGTGGTGACAGTGACCCAGGGGTCTCACATGGCAGAGAATGGCGGAACAGAGAGAGAGATAACTCTTCATGCACTCTCCTTTTAAAGCCCTCGGAACCACGTCCCTGACCACCATTATTAATCTCTTCACTGCTGCACGGTCCTGCAATCTAATCCCCTCTTCAAGGCCCCACCTTTCAATTACCATAAAAGGCTTTTCCACCCTCACCAGTTACAGTGGGGATTAAGCTTTAGCGTATGGGTTTGGAGGACACAATTCAGTCAATCCACAGGCACCCCTGGCCGGAGATGTTTCACTTTCTTTGAAATTGATGAGGGGAAATTTTGGCCACACCATCATTCTTGGAATATCTCGAGACCGAACTTTGAGTTATTAAGGCTTTAAGTGTTCTGGGTTGTTCTTCATTCCTTTCGCATGGATCTGGAAGCTCTTTCTGCACCTACATGTGGCAAAATCTAGATCCACGCTCTCTTACAGTGTCTGTGCAATGCAAACCAAGAGCAGAGGCTTGCTGGATATGCTCCGTTGGTACACAAGTCTAAAGTCTGGAATTCTCTTTTTAAAGCAAATCTTGTCTTTCTTTTGTCTTTTTATCTAAATAAGTTTATCAATATTTTTTTACATTCTAAGATATTGTTGTGGAGCAGTGGGAGAGAGGGGAAGAGGGAAAATGGGAGGCGGATAGGATAGGAGGACCAGCAAGCGGGGAGGGGGCACGGTCAAGGCTCATCTGGCTGGGGAGCCCGGGGGGCTTCTGGCAGTGTCTCAGTCATCACTGGGCTGAATGCGGATGTTGTGGGGTCATATGGCTGAGGCACTTGGCTCCCACCGTCCTGGCTTGGGAGCCCAGGGTGCTTCGGGTCCTTCTAGGTTTTCTAGGTGTTCTTTGGTGGTTCTGGACCTTTGCTAGTTAATGTCAGAACTTTGTCTCTGATCTGTGAGTTTTTTGTTTTGTCTTTCAATTCTGTGTTGGATTGTTTGCTGTTCCCACCACTTAAACTCTGCACTGGAACTAATTTGTTGTCCTTTGCTTACTTCTAAAATGGGGGAACTTCCTGTGGGGGCCAGCACTTGAGCCCTGTGGTTGAGCTAAATTGCTGCTTTGCTGCTGATTTCCTGGGGAAGGCTTTTTGTGCAGCTCAGGTTTTAGTTGTTGACCTTGTAAGCACTTCTGTGTCCTGGGGAAGTTTGTTGTCCTTTGCTTACTTCTAAAATGGGGGAACTTCCTGTGGGGGCCAGCACTTGAGCCCTGTGGTTGAGCTAAATTGCTGCTTTGCTGCTGATTTCCTGGGGAAGGCTTTTTGTGCAGCTCAGGTTTTAGTTGTTGACCTTGTAAGCACTTCTGTGTCTTGTGAGGTCTGGTACACCTGCGTTGTGCGGAAACTCTGGTCTGGGCCTGAGTCTTCTCAGCAAACTGCACCTTCTGCAGTTCTATATTCCTGACCAGTCTCCACTGGGTGGGCCTGTGCTGATTGGAGGGCAGATCAGCTGTCCATGCTGTGCCCCAGTGTTACCCTGGTGGGCCCATCTCCCCTGCTGCCCCCACTCCAACACTTCCCATGGGATGGGCTGTGCACTGGTCCCTTGTTGCCTCCAAGCCTTGAAATGGTCGGAGTGGTCCTTTCCTTCTCTCATCACAGCTTCTCCTGCTTTCATGCGCTCCGTAGGTCTCTCCTCTTCCCCTGAGCTCTAGCGGCCCCAGCTTGGCAGTCGTTGCTTTTTAATAGTTGTAAATTTGTTGATTGTGGGAGAGAGTGACACTGGGGACCATCTATTCCACCACCTTGATCCCTCATTTGTCTTTAAAACATTTTGTGTCAATGTACCTCTTGGAGTTTGATTTATAAATTTAGAAATGGAGGTTAGAGCAGCATCATGACACCAAAGTCAAGGGTTTGGATCCCTGTACCAGCCAGTGGCAAACAAACAAAACAAAAATGAAAAAAAGTATAATGATACCAAAATTTGACAGAGTATTAAGAATTGAAGTCACAGACCAATGTCTTATGGATATCAATGCCAAAATCGTATACAAAATATTGGCAAAGTGTATGGAGCAGTGTATAAAGAGCATGGTACACTGCCATAAGACCATAGCACAGAAATGCAAGTTTGACTTAGCAGAGCATTAGAAGATCAGTGTAATCTGTGACATGCAGAAGTCAAAGGGGAGGACGCATATGTTTACTGCGATACGTGCAGAGTGCAAGTGCTTGATAAAGCCTTTACCTCATATTGGGAAGAGATTTACAAAGTCTAGCAAACATTCATGCTCAAAGTTTTTCCAGCACATGTCACACTTTAACATGAAACTTTGAAAGCTTATTTTTTTAAAAACTGGGACATTGCAAGTGGGCCACTGTCACAACTCATGTCCAACATTGTTCAGCCACTAAGGAGGAATATAAAATAAAGGAATATGATTTGGGTACAATAGCAGTGGATTTCACAGATGATATGATTATTAACACAGAAAATAGAAAAGGTAAGTTTTTAGAGTCAGTAAGAGAGTTGAGGAGGAATGCCATGTATAAAAATATACAGAAAACACTTCCATGTCAAGAGATTTGCAACAGAGAGTTGGAAATGATATTTAAAGAGAAATACAATGGCATCTAAGGTACTGTGCTTTTAATTCCATGTCTAATAAAATATGTCTAGGGCCTCTGGGGGGAAGTATTAAATGTTGTAGAGAGATGGTAGAGAAGGTAGAAATCGGGTGAGGTGCACATGGCAGACATGAAGATATCCATTCCTGATCACAATCAAAGAAAAGTTCTTTTGAGAACGTGTGAAAATTGACAAGTTGATTCCAAGAGCCAAGTGGAGCCCAAGCACTCACGAAGAACAAAGAGAGGACACTGTCTGCCGGATGTCCAGATTTCCTATAAAGCTATAGGCCGTGCAGACACAGATAAAAAGACCAAAGTAACACAGTAGTGAATCCAAAACCAGACCCATGCATAACCGGATTTTTTTTTCACCCTGGTGCTACTGTGAGGTATAGAGAAAGTAAGGGCCTTAACATAGGTGGTGCTGAGACCATGCCACCCCATGGGCACGTGTATGCGATAAAATGAAACACGTCTCCCTCACGCCATGCACAAATACCAACTCCAGGTGCATTAAAGACGCCAATGTAAAGGTAAAACAAGACAATGACCTTAGGATAATAAAAAATTGTAAACAGTGTATAAATGCACTCACCACAAAGGACAGATCGACATACTTGCCTCTATTAAAATAAGACCTTTATATCATCAGAAGACACCATAAAAGAGTGAAAAGGCCAGGCACATAGATGGGAAAGATATTTACACACATGATAGTCAAAGATCCAGCATATAAACATGTAAAGACCTCCTAAAAATGAATGTGAAAAGACAACTCTATTGATTGCTGAGTAAAAGTCAAACCATTGAAGAGGAAACACTAGGGCCAGGAAGATTGGAGAAGGTGCCCACCTGTGAGTCATCAGGACAGTGCACTAGAAGCCACAGGAGGTGCAGGTGCTCCCACAAGAGTCCCCCAGCTGACAGCACTAGGAGCAGGCAGGAGTGTGGGGCCTTGGGGAGGGGGTCATTGTGTCCTGCACAGTCACATGGGGAGATGCTGCAGCCTGACTGGAATGGACGTGTGCATGCATCACAACCCCTGTCCTTCCCTGGAGGAGCCTGTGTCCAGGGGCCTTTCACAGTGTCCCCTACAGAATGACCCATGGAGCAGGGGCCGGATGGATGGACACATTGTGCTCATTGTGCTGAGAGGCAGTAGGGCTTCTCCAGGCCACACAGCCAGTGCAGGGCCTAGAGAACTTTCTGTCCCCTGCTTCCCCGTCCAGGACTTCTTTGCTCCATGTGGCATTCCAGATGTAGATAGTGACTGTGACCTTGTGCATCTCCCTCTGTCTCCAGAGCACAAGGCAGTGTTCTCCAAGGATCAGCCTGTGTGCAGCGAGGTGACGGCTGAGGCGGGGGCCAGTGCCACGCTGAGCTGCGAGGTGTCCCAGGCCCAGACGGAGGTGACGTGGTACAAGGATGGGAAGAAGCTGAGCTCGAGCTCGAAGGTGCACGTGGAGGCCACAGGCTGCACGCGGCGGCTGGTGATGCAGAAGGCAGAGAAGGTGGATGCCGGGGAGTACAGCTGTGAGGCTGGGGGTCAGAGGGTCTCCTTCCGCCTGGATGTCACAGGTGGGTTCTTTGTGATACTACTGCCTTTGTTTTGGTTGGAGGTGATGATGGGACTGGCTTGTAGCTCCAAGGGACCCTACAGGTCTTCCATTAGACTTCACACCTGTAGTCTCCCATTTTAGTACCTGCGTCTGGGCCAGGTGAGTCTGATGGGAAAGATATGCATGGAAGGGACAGGGGCACACCTGTGTTTCCACATTGTAATGCTTAATCACACATTCCCAGCACCTGCTCAGAACCCACTGGTGGTTCTACGTGTCCAGGACTCATGTCCTACCCAAAGAATGGGACTGAGGTAGACCAGATGTCTCTTGCCTAGGGACGTACTGCAGGTGCCTCGTGGCCACCTGCAGCTCACAGAGGGTTCTCCCTACGGAAACAGATTTGAGTTCATTGAACCAGGATAAGGGGAAATTTTAGCTACCCAATCATATTTGGAATTATATCAAGACTGAACATTGGCTAACTGGTAAAGTGGTATGTATGTCACAGTGGCTCCCTAATGACTCTTATGTGTCTGTGACTATCTGGCCAATTTATAGAGAAATCTGGGGACTAACTTTTTTTTTCTATTGTTAGGAGAGTTTAACTTCAAAATAGTGCTGTCTGTTGTCCAACAGTGACTCCCGAGTTTCACAACATAACATTGGTATTGTATTAGTACCTAGTGGTTTATTGGTGTGTATACATACCACAAAACCCACTATGTGTTTTTTGACATGTTATTTTAATACTATATGACATTATTTTATGCAAACAGATTCAAAAAGCTTTGAAAATTGTCCAATTTCTAGAAAACTAAGTCAAAACTGATCCATGAAGAAATAGATCACTCAAACAGTCCTACAACCTATTAAAAAGTAGAACCAAGAACAAAGAAAAATAAAAGTAGGACCAGTAATAAAAAAATCTTCTCATCGTGCAGTATGTAAGCCAAGAGGCTGTAGCAGTAAATTCTTCCACACATTCTGTAAAGAAATTATTCTGTGTTCATGGAGATTCTTCTGGAGAATAGAAAATGAAGATGTAATCTTAGCCCATTATATGTAGATAGCATAACATTGATACTAAAATCTCACCAGAAAATAGTAAGGATTCATATCATAGGCCCATCTATTATGGGTTTATCAGCGCCAATTTGTTAAATAAAATATTAGCAACCTGAATTCAGCAATATACCAAGAGAATGAAACACTGTGACAGACAAAATTCATAGTCCAAGAATGAAGGCTGGTTTAACATTAGAAACATTAGAAAATCAATAGAAAGCATGACATTATCGGATTAAAATTAAAAAATGATATAACAACCTCAATAAATGCAGAATAAAGTATTTGATAAAATTTAACACTGTAAATTCAGAAGAAATAATTGACAAAACTCAGCACCAATCATGCCATCAAATACTTTTTTTTTTCATTCTTTCTTTCTTTTTCTTTCTATCTTTCTTTTTTTTTTTTTTTTAATAAGATGACCGGTAAGGGGATCTTAACCCTTGACTTGGTGTTGTCAGCACCACCCTCTCCCAAGTGAGTTAACTGGACATCCCTATAAAGGGATCCGAACCTGCGGCCTTGGTGTTATCAGTACCGCACTCTCCCGAGTGAGCCACGGGCCGGCCCATGCCGTAAAATTCTTAACAAAGTATAAATAAAAAGGTTCTTTCTTAATTTGGTAAGTGGTATTGCACCAAAATCACAAAGTGAAACCCTTTGAGATAGGACAACACAAGGAAACCACCTGTCACCACTTTTATCCAACACTATACAGCACAGTTAGGAGGAAAATAAAAGGTATAAAATCCAGGGGAAAAAAATGTAATTTACAGATTATACAATTTATCCAAAAGATAAATTATTAGATTTAGTAAGGGAGTTGAGAAAGATTACCGCCTAAAAAAATCAATACAAAGAAAACATTTCTGTATGAATATAGCAACATCAAGCAGCTGGAAAGTGAAAGTTTAAAAGATTTCCAGTAGTCTCAAAGGTATTATGTTGATAATTCCAAGGCTAATAAAAAATGTTTTAGAGGCTCTGTGGGGGAAAATCCCTAAACATTTTTGAGAGAGGGTAAAGATGTAAATAAATGGAAGAATCAAAGATGCTCATTCCCTCAAAATCCAAACAAATGTATTTTTGGTAGGGGAGAGGAAGGGAGGTTGAAAAATGACAAGTGCATTCTAAAGGCCACATAAAGCCTTTAAAGAAGGGCAAAGTGTAAGCACTTGTACCAGGTATCAAGACTTATAAAGCTACGGTCATTAAGACGAAGGAGTCTCAGTGCAGGATACTTATCAGATGGAGAGAAGACAGCTCAGAAACAGACCTCTTATAAAATGACTCCCCTTCTCCCATTCTCCTCCCCGCCCGTTTTTTAAAATCAAAGCATCTGTGCCAGGTGTGAGGAAAGGATGGTCTTTCATAAATGCTGCTTTGAACGTTTAACCAAATGAAAAAATACAATAAAGTTTACCAGTAACTGACCACACACAAGAGTCAACTCCAGGTGGATCAGAGACTTCAATGTAAAAAGGAAAATCATAAAACGGCAGGATGGACCGATGACACTGCAGTTGCTCGTTACTAGTGCCGGCCCTGGAGAAGTGTCCGTCCTCCTTACCCCCTGTCCAGGCCTTTTTAAACTAGTGCTGCCTTCCTAGGTGGTTCTAGGTGGTTGCTCTGACTCTGTGGTCCCTCCCTTTCCCAGAGCCTGCTGTGGTGTTTGCCAAGGAGCAGCCTGCACACAGCGAGGTGAAGGCCGGAGTGGGAGCCAGTGCCACGCTGAGCTGTGAGGTGGCCCAGGCCCAGGCAGAGGTTATGTGGTTCAAGGACGGGAAGAAGCTGAGCTCGAGCTCGAAGGTGCACATGGAAGCCACCGGCTGCAGGCGGCGGCTGGTGGTGCAGGAGGCAGGGAAGGCAGACGCCGGGGAGTACTGCTGCGAGGCCGGGGGCCAGAGGGTCTCCTTCCGCCTGAGCGTCACAGGTCAGTCCTTTGGGGTGGTGAATTAGTCTGGAGGTGATGAACACCCTGCATGGACCCTGGAAGCCCGGATGGTGGCCAGTGGGGGGCGTCTGGCCCTGCTGCCTTCGTTTGTGGTGGCTCAGCAGAGCAGCAGCATCTGAGAACTGGACGGGGTGGACCTTGAAGAGGGACGGGTTCCTGCTGATCTCTCCGATGTGGCCCTGGAGGGGTGGGGCCCACCTAGGGACACCAGGGTCCCTGCTCTCATGCTGACTCATCTCCCCCAGAACTGGAGCCCGAGCCCTCAGCCCCCGAGAGACCCTGCCGCAGGGAGCCTCTGGTGGTCAGGGAGCACGAGGACATTGTCCTGACCGCCACACTGGCCACACCCTCTGTCGCCGCGGTGACTTGGCTCAAGGATGGCGTGGAGATTCGCCGCAGCAAGCGGCACGAGACGGCCAGCCTGGGGGACACCCATACCCTGACGGTGCGCGGCGCCCAGGTCATGGACAGCGCGGTCTATAGCTGTCGCGTGGGCGCCGAGGGGCAGGACTTCCCGGTGCAGGTAGAAGGTGAGCGGTGTGGGGGATCTTCGGGGCGGGCTGGGGCTCAGGTCGCACAACCAGTCTGTGCAGAGCTCGGGCTGACGTCCTTTGCGTGCCTGCAGAGGTGATCGCCAAGTTCTGCCGAGCCCTGGAGCCCGTGAGCGGGGAGCCGGGCGGCACGGTGACGCTGACGTGCGAGCTGAGCCCGGCGCAGGCGGAGGTGGTGTGGCGCTGCGGGAGCACGCAGCTGCGACCCGGCAAGCGCTTCCGGATGGCCGCCGCGGGGACCCTGCGCTCGCTCACCGTGTCGGGCCTGCGCCCGGAGGACGCGGGAGAGTACGTGTGCGAGTGCCGCGACGACCGCACCGGCGCGCGGCTCACCGTCCACGGTACGCGGCCGCAGGGCTGGGTCCGGGGGGCGGCGGGCGAGGCCGGCGGAGGGCATTCCCGGACTGCTTCTCGGAGGTGGTGGTCTTTGGCGAGGCCGCACGGTGGGCTCTCCGGAGAGCCCCTCCTGCCGCGTCTCAAACGGAGCTCCCATCCGCAGTGCCCCGCGTGGTCAAGTTCACGTCTGGGCTGAGCGCCGTGGTCGCGGAGGAGGGTCGCGAGGCCACCTTCGAGTGCGTGGTGTCTCCCGGCGATGCGGCCGTCACATGGTTCCGGGAAGGCGCCCAGCTGCAGCCCAGCGAGAAGTTTGTCATATCGCAGGAGGGCGCCAGCCACAGCCTGACTATATCGGGCCTGGCGCTGGAGGACGCGGGCCAGATCACCGCGGAGGCTGAGGGCGCCTCGACCTCGGCGGCCCTCCGGGTCCGAGGTGAGAGTTGGGGGCAGCAGGACCTGCAGGGCGGTCCAGCGGCTCCTTGCAGTGGTCTGTCCGGGGTAGAGAGGAGGAGACTTGGATGGGTCCGTGAGAGCGGCCGCCTTTTCTGTAGGGGAGAAGATAAGATCCTGCGAATGCACGTTGTAGGGGGGAAGTGGGTGGAGGTTGGGGCGGTCCAGGGAGGCTTCCCGGAGGAGGCGTTCCTAGGTTGAGTCTGGTAGATGGGAGGTGGCAGCTACTGGGGTTGGTAGGAGGTGGAGATGAGCTTCCGATGCTGCTGAGGTCAGAGAGCAGGAATTTCGCCTGAAAGGAAGTGGGAACCATGGCAGGGTCTTGAATAGGGAAGAGACAGATGCACCTACTGGGAAGATCACGGTGCAGCCTGGGCTGGGAGGCCCAAGGGAGCCAGTTTCTAATTGCCTAACGCGCTCGCGTCCCAGGGCCTGGTTAGAGCACAGCAGCTGATGCAGCGGGTCTGGGGGTTGAGTTGGCCTGCCTCACCAGTGGCTGGAGACCCGATGCTGCTGGCCACTGGCCATGCTTAGGAGTTCCAGGCGCAGGGGCATGGCGTGATGTTCAGGATGGGAGAGCAGGAGGTGGGAGGAGGACGGGGAAGGAAGCAGCCTCTCTGGGTCTCAGCTTCCTCCCATAGAATCGTGCCTGTGCAGGTGTGCAGATGGGGCCTGATGGTGGCCAGTGCTTCAAGCAGCTTGGAGTGGGGATGTGGGGCCTCCTTGGTGTTCTCTGTGCCTTGGCTGTCCTGAGAGGACGGTGACAGCCATGATCTCTCCTCTCCAACCATCTCAGAGGCCCCAGTGTTGTTCAAAAGGAAGCTGGAACCGCAGACGGTGGAGGAGAGGAGCTCGGTGACGCTGGAGGTGGAGCTGACGCGCCCGTGGCCGGAGGTGAAGTGGACGCGGAATGCGGCGGCCCTGGCGCCGGGCGAGAACGTGGAGATCCACGCCGAGGGAGCGCGTCACCGCCTGGTTCTGCTCAGCGTGGGTTTCACCGACCGCGGGTTCTTTGGCTGCGAGACGCCCGATGACCAGACGCAGGCCAAGCTCACCGTGGAGAGTGAGCTTCGGGGCGGCAGGGGCGCACTGGGCCTGGGCGACGGGCATTTAGGAGGAGGGGGGTAGGAGCAAAACAGATCCCTGGGAGGGAGGGAGGGGCGGGCCTCTCCACCCTGGGGCCGGGGCCTCGGGTTGAAGTGAGGAAGAGAGCAGGCGGACCTCCCCGTGGAGGGGCGGGTCGTGGGGGTATGGGGAGGACGAAGGGGGAGGACCTCCCCCTGTAGGAGCAGGTCCTGGGGGAGGAGGAGGCCGCCAGGGCCCTCGCTCAGCTCTGCGGCCTCCTGGGGAAGCCGGCTGTGCCCACGTCCGGGGTCCGAGTGCGGGCTGGCTGGAAGGCGCGGGCCTGGGGCAGCGGCTCACCCGCATCCCTGCGTGCGTCCCCACAGTGCGCCAGGTCCGTCTGGTGCGGGGTCTGCAGTCGGTGGAGGCGCAGGAACAGGGCGCAGCCACCATGGAGGTGGAGCTGTCACACGCGGACGTGGAGGGCACCTGGACGCGCGACGGCCTGCGGCTCCACCCGGGGCCCACGTGCCACCTGGCGGTGCACGGCCCCATCCACACCCTCACGCTGTCGGAGCTGCGGCTGCAGGATAGCGGCCTTGTCGCCTTCAAGGCTGAGGGCGTGAATACATCGGCGCAGCTCGTCGTCACTGGTGCGTGGGGAGGGAGAGGCAGGAGGTTCCCACTCCAGAGCGTGCCCACCCCTGCCCCCAAGGTGGCTCAGGGAGGCAGGTGGGGACAGTGTGGACTGGGACGTGGAACCCTGCCAGGGAGCTCAATCCCAGAGCCAGCTCTGTGACTTCCCCTGTCCCCGCTGGGAAGACAACTCCAAGCTGTTTTTCTCACCTCACCTTCCCTCTCCTGCTGCCCCAGAGCTGCCTGTGAGGTTTACCCGCCCGCTACAGGACGTGGTGGCCACTGCAAAGGAGAAGGTGACCCTGGAGTGTGAACTGTCACGTCCCAACGTCGACGTGCGCTGGCTGAAGGTGCCTCTGTTCCCCTGGGGACTCCTCTGTCCCCTTCCTGCCTCTCACCGTGGGCAGGCAGGTTGGTCACCCCAGTGCCTGACCTGGCCTCTTTCTTGCACAGGATGGCGTGGAGCTGCGGGTGGGCAAGACGGTGGGCATAAAGGCCCAGGGCTCTTGCAGGAGTCTCATCATTCACCGGTGTGAGCTTGGGGATCAGGGCGTCTATGTGTGTGATGCTGGTGATGCTCAGAGCTCGGCTTCTGTGAAGGTGCAAGGTGAGGGCGGGCGGGGCAGCACTCGGGTGGGTGGCAGGACCTCCTGGCCCCCTGGGCCTCCAGTGTGGCGCTTGGCCACTCTGACTCTGTCTTGACTCCTCCATACGTGGGGGAACTGGGTGGGGGGCGCTGGGAGGGCTCTGTGGCAGGGCCTTGCTTGCCACCCTAGGCCGCAACATCCAGATCGTAAGGCCCCTGGAGGATGTCGAGGTGATGGAGAAGGAAGGAGCCACCTTCTCCTGTGAGGTCTCCCACGACGAGGTGCCTGCCCAGTGGTTCCGGGAGGGCAGTAAGCTGCATCCCAGTGACAACGTACGCATCCGCCAGGAAGGTGCGGCTGGCAGGCGGGCTTTGGGTGGGTGTGGGCCCCGCCTCCAGGCTTCTCCCCTCTACCCCAGTGCTGAGTGGCCCTCCTCCCCAGGAAGGACATACATTCTGATCTACCGGAGGGTCCTGGTGGAAGATGCAGGGGAGATCAAATTTGTAGCTGAAAATGAAGAATCACGAGCCCAGCTCCGAGTGAAAGGTGAGGAGGGTGCGGGGAGTGTGGGGCTGGACGTTGTGTGCACGCACGCATGGGTGCACGCACATTTGCAGGGTCTGGCAGCTCAGCTGGCCCAGGATAGGCCTGGGGTTCCCCAGGCCCTCCCAGGGCAGGGACAGCAGTGACTCGGGAGGAAAGAAGGGTTGTCGGCTCCTCAGCAGGAAGATGGGGACAGGGGAAGGGGCCTTGGGGGTGTGAGAACTCGGGGTCACCTCCTTTGTGTAAAATGGAGATGCCAGTGAATTCTGTTTCTTGGGGATGTAGTCTGTGTTTGAGAGGGGGGGTGCGAAGCTCTGGCAGGTGGGAGGTCGTGGTTCTACCTCATGGCTTTGATAAAAGTCAGGAGTGGCCAGGGATGTGAACGAGGAAGGATCCTCAGATAGGCGGGGCGAGTGTGGGGTGGGGTATGTAGGGGTGGGGCTGAGGCACGTGTGGTGGGACGTGGTCGCTTGGGAGAGGACTGAGCAGGCACACAGGGTGAGGGAAGGCGTGTGGGGGGTGGGAGGTGAGTGCAGAGTGGGGATGCGTGGGGTGGGACACATGGGCACTGGAGAGAAGGCAGGGCATGCACGCATGGGGTAGGGGTATGGGGGGCAGTGCAGAGGCGGGGTGGGGCATGGGCCAGGGTATATGGGGCAGGATGAGAACATTCAGGGCAAGGGTGCTCCGGATGGAGATGGGGTGTGCCCACTTTTCTGGTGGTTAATTGTAAGCAGTCAGCAGGTCCCAGACCAGCCCTGAAGAAGACACTCAGCCTGGCTACCTGCTCACTGTGGTGGGCAGCTGCCTGCGGGCTGTGGGGGTCAAGCAGGCACCAGGCCCTTGGCTGCTTGAGGCCCAGAGCACAGGCCCAGCCAGCTTGTTGGAGCCCGCTTGGGCAAAGCACCCAGCCCACAGGTGCAGGAGTGCTGAGCCGCAGCGCTGAGTCTCTCGTTGGCTCCCACAGAGCTGCCGGTGACGCTCCTGCGCCCGCTGCGGGACAAGATCGCCATGGAGAAGCACCGTGGTGTGCTGGAGTGCCAGGTGTCCCGGGCTAGTGCCCAGGTGCAGTGGCTGAAGGGCAGAGTGGAGCTGCAGCCGGGTCCCAAGTACGAAATGGTCAGCGACGGCCTTTACCGCAAGCTGGTCATCAACGACGTGCAGCCGGAGGATGAGGACATCTACACCTGTGACGCGGGTGGCGCCAAGACCAGCGCCCAGTTCTTTGTGGAAGGTGCGGATGGGGCGGGGTGGGCAGCTCTCTCAGATGCCGAGGGGAGAGTCTACTGCTTCTGTAGTGTGCCCTGGTGTTCTGGAGGTGGGCAGCTCTGACGGGCGCTGTGGGGGCTCTGGGCAGGCGGAGCAGGATGTTAGCGCGCGTGGGGTTGGGGAGAGGGTTTGTTCCGGGAAGCGACCCAGAGCCTCAGGAAGGGAGGTTGGTCCTCCCACAGGACCCTGCCAGTGACATGCCCCTTGCCCACAGAGCAATCCATCACCATCGTGCGGGGCCTGCAGGACGTGACAGTGATGGAGCCCGCTCCCGCCTGGTTCGAGTGCGAGACCTCCATCCCCTCAGTGAGGCCACCCAAGTGGCTCCTGGGGAAGACGGTGCTGCAGGCTGGGGCAAATGTGGGCCTGGAGCAGGAGGGCACTGTGCACCGGCTGACATTGCGGCGCACCTGCTCCACCATGACCGGGCCCGTGCACTTCACCATCGGCAAGTCCCGCTCCTCAGCACACCTTGTTGTCTCTGGTGAGTGCATGGCACACTCTGGCGGGGGCACCCGCGGCAGGGCTGTGAGTGGACACGGAGCAGGGCCGTGGGCGGATGTGGCTCAGAACCACAAGTGGACACAACTCAGGAGCCTGAGTCGTCAGGGCCTTGAGTGGATGTGGCTGAGGGCTTTGGCTGGACATGGCTTAGGGTCTGGGGCAGGCAAGGGCAGGTGGTCTGGTGTCCTGTGGGTCTAGCCCTGCTCTCTCTCTCCTCTACAGACATCCCTATGGTGCTCATGCGGCCACTGGAGCCCAAGGTGGGGCGTGAATTGCAGTCGGTGGTCCTGTCCTGTGACTTCAGGCCTCCTCCCAAAGCTGTGCAGTGGTACAAGGATGATGTGCCCCTGATCCCATCCAACAAGTTCAAGATGAGGCTGGAGGGCCAGATGGCCGAGCTGCGCATCCTCCGGCTCATGCCTGCTGATGCTGGCATTTACCGGTGCCAGGCGGGCAGTGCCCAGAGCAGCACCGAGGTCACTGTGGAAGGTAGGAAGCCGTGTGGGAGGGGGCATGGGGCTGCCAAGAGGGTCTCTGGGGGTGGGGACAGCCAGCAGCAGGGGCGCTAAGGCCCCAGTGTGCTCCTTGCAGTACGGGAGGTGACAGTCACGCAGCCGCTGCAGGATGCTGAGGCCACAGAAGAGGGCCGGGTGTGCTTCTCGTGCGAGCTGTCCCATGAGGATGAGGAGATCGAGTGGTCACTCAACGGGACGCCCTTGTACAATGACAGCTTCCATGAGATCACCCACGAGGGCCGCCGCCACACGCTGGTGCTGAAGAGCGTCCGGCAGGCGGGCGCGGGCACTGTGCGAGCCTCCTCCCGCAAGGTGACAGCCTCTGCACGCCTTGAGGTCAGAGGTGAGCTGTCTCTGCATGCTCTGTGGGGTGTGCAGAGACCCCTCGTTCCCTGGGATGGGTGCCTGGCTTCCCTCACTGGCTATGCCCTCCCTGCAGCGAAGCCGGTGGTGTTCCTGAAGGCACTGGACGACGTGTCTGCTGAGGAGCACAGCACGCTGACCCTGCAGTGTGAGGTCTCAGAGCCCGAGGCCCGCGTGGTGTGGCGCAAGGATGGCGTGGACCTGGGCCCTAGCGACAAGTACAACTTCCTGCACACGGCGGGCATGCGAGGGCTCATGGTGCATGACCTGAGTCACAAAGACGCCGGTCTGTACACCTGCCATGTGGGCACCGAGGAGACCCGGGCCTGCATCAGTGTGCACGGTGTGTGTCCATGTCAGCTGGAGCTTGGGGAGGGTGGTGGTGCTGAGGTCGGGTGGTCCTCCTTCATCCTGGGTGACCCTCTGAGATCGGAGAGCTGCTCTGCTGAGCCAGGATTGGTCAGGGGAGCCTCCTGCAGGAGCTGGGGGATGAGAGGTCAAGGAGTAAAGGGCAGGAGGCTGTCCTGGCCCCACCTGGGAGTCCCCACAGGGCTAGAGATGTTCGCTGTGTGCCACGGCAGAAACCGGGTGTGGGGGGAATGGGGGACGTAAGGGGAGCCTCCTGAAGGAGGCAGGAGGGAGAAGCTGAGGTGCTGGGCAGGGGCTGCACAGGAAGGGTTCCCGGGCCAAGGGCACAGTGTGCTAAAGCAGCAGGTGGGCTGTGGGTGGGCCACTCTCCTGTGCCTCATGGAGCCTCAGAGAGGCCCAAAGGTCACCAGGCTGGTGGATGGAGCCATCACCTGACCCAGCTGTGCTGTCTCGGAGGCTCGGGTCCCTGCAGCACATCCTTCTCGGCCAGGGCCAGGTTTCCCGACTGGGGGGCGGCTGCCTGTCCTCCTGCCAGTGGTTGCTATCTTGGCCCTGCTACCTGTGATCCTGGTTTCAGTCCCTACACGTTTTGGTTTTGTCGGCGTGCACAAAGTGGACAGCCGGCCTACTGTCCTGGGACCCTGCGGTGGGTCCTGGATAGCCTCGCTGGTTGGTGCTATGATGGAGGGGACAGTAGCGTAGGGACTCGCCCCAGAGAGGAGGAGGCCCCCCTTCTCTCAAGGCCCTGTCCTTCCTCTCCTGGAGGGGATGAGCCAGGACAGCTGCCACCACAGCCCACATCTGTTGGTCGCCCCAGCACCAGGAGTGGCCAGCTGAAGGCCGGCAGGTGTGGCCCCAGGCAGCGCCGCTCTCTCGGGCAGGCATCTGTGGGCTGCTGGCATGATGAGTCTCCCATGGCCCACAGACCTGCTCGTGGGCATCACCAAGAGGCTGAAGACGGTGGAGGTGTTGGAGGGCGAGAGCAGCAGCTTTGAGTGCGTCCTGTCCCGTGAGAGCGCTGACGACCTAGCCACGTGGACTGTCGCTGGGAAGACTGTGGGCAGCTCCGGCCACTTCCAGGCTGTGCGCCAGGGCCGCAAGTACACACTGATGGTCCGAGACGCTGCGCTGAGTGACGCCGGGGAGGTGGTTTTCTCTGTGCGGGGCCTCACCTCCAAGGCCTCGCTCATTGTCAGAGGTGAGCACAGCAGGTGGGACGGGGGCTTGTGGCCACGGGCTGAGGGGGCTACTGAGCACACGCCCCTCCCCAGGTGGCCAGGGGCTGCCAGGGGGTGCTTCTGGGGACTGTCTCCCCCACCTCTAGTGAACTCCCCTTCTAGAGGCCAATGGTGGGGACCCCTGGGGCACCTGTTGGGGTGGTGGGGGAGGTTCTGGTCATCTGAGGGGGGTCAGTCTCTCAGATGAGTGTCTGCAGTCCTCTGTACAGGCTCAGGATTCTGGTTTCCAATTCATTGTCTATCCTGAGGGGTTGGTAGCTCCCAGCACACATGTGTCTTGTGAAGTCAGTCTGAGGATACTAAGCCAAGTGTGAAATCAGCTGTGAAACTGCCACCAATGTTTGCGAGCTTGTGCTCCTGCCGTGTACACTTGGTACAGATTGGTGGAGCTCGGCTCACAGGTGGCACCATCCTGTGGCCACACTGAGTTGTGGGGCTCTGGATGATGCTGAGCATTTGGGCTTCTGTGGTCTCATATCCCCTCACCTCCCAGGTCCTGCCTTTTTGATGGGGGCTTTGGCATTTCAAGGCCCTGAGGCTTCTGGGGTTCGAGGTCTCAGAGTTGGATTTGGTCTCCAGAGACTGTTCCCAAATGCCTGTCCCTGTCCTCATCCTGGCTATGGCTGGCACCGTGGCCATGCCCTATGGATGACCGTCTCTGCTCTCCTCAGAGAGGCCGGCAGACATCACGAAGCCTCTGGAAGACCAGCAGGCCATACCGGGGGAGGACGTGGTGCTGAGCTGTGAGCTGTCCCGGGCGGGCACCCCAGTGCGCTGGCTGAAGGACGGGAAGGCCATCCGCAAGAGTCAGAAGTACAACGTGCTCAGTGAAGGCACACGGGCCATGCTGGTCATCCGCGGAGCCTCACTCAAGGATTCGGGCGAGTACACATGTGAGACAGAAGCTTCCAAGAGCACAGCCAGGCTCCACGTGGGAGGTGAGCACCACACGTTGCCCCACAGGGGCCTCTCTCCCTCAGCCAGACACAGTCTCCCCTTCTTCTGTCCCAGGCAAAAAGGGCTCGCCCAGGTCCCAGAGTTCCATGGCCGTGCCAGGAGGGGAACAGGGATGTCGTGGGGTCTGTGCAGGCCTCACGCTCCACCTGTTCCATTTCCCTCCCCCAGAGAAGGCAAACCGGTTCACGGAGGAGCTGTCTGACCTGCAGGTGGAGGAGAAGGGCACGGCCGTGTTCATGTGCAAGACGGAGCGGCCCGTGGACACAGTGACCTGGTACAAGGGTATCACTGAGCTGCAGAGCTCGGAGAAGCACATGCCCAGCCAGGAGGGCCTGACCTTGAGGCTCACCATCAGCGCTCTGGAGAAGGCAGACAGCGACACATATATCTGCGACATTGGCCAGGCCCAGACCCGGGCCCAGCTCCTGGTGCGAGGTGAGGTCACCCAGAATGCTCAGGCAGAGGCTTTGATTGTGGTAGACCCTGGAAACTCGGAGGCAGTCGGAGATCGGGGAGCCCAGCCTGAGTGTCCCCGTCTCTAAGGGTGGAGGGGCTCACCCTGGGTGGTCTCTGAAGCTCTCCAATGCAAGCGCTCTGCATGTGTCTGTGCACACGACGTGTCGCCTGTCCCACGTGCTGACAGCCAGGGAGCCTTGAATGTTCCCCAGGGAGAGTGTATGGTCACTGTGACCGTGGTTGGTCATCATGGGGGATTTTTGTGTTTCCACATTTGAGTGGTGGTTGCAATCGGTAGGTAGTTGAGGGCTCTCTGCTTGGAAGATAAGAAAGCTGGGGTTTGAGTGGGTTGGGGGCTGGCCCAGGGCCAGAGGGCATGTGACCACAGCTTTCGCTCAGCTGAGCCCTGGCTGGCATCCAGGGCCGAGGCTGCTGGAAGCCCCTGCTGGGGTCTGACTATGGGAACCACAGGGTTCAGTGCCGGAAGGCCTCTGCAACAATAACTGGAAGTAATATAAAAAGACAGCTTCATTTCTGTTGTTGTCCTCTTTTTTTAGTGAAATCAGTGAATTCAGTAAATGCAGTGAAAGTATTTTGTAAGCACAGTAAAAGCCCCGTGATCTCATAAAAGTTTGCATTCATGTGAATCAAAAAACTCAGTTAAGGTGAGAATCATAAAAATCACAAAAGGTACCAGTTACAAATTTAAAACATACACGTGTCCTCCCATCCGGTGGGTAGGCCAGGGCCATCTCTTCGTGGGTTGGTCCACAAACAGGAGTTCCACCTCTCCTGCCCTGTGTGCTGTTGGCGTCCACTTCTTTAAAGTGGAGTCTTACCTTCAAGGCACTTGAGAACTGGAAGGAATCAGACTGCAGGATCCATCTCAAAACTGGTGAATTCTTTCTCATCTTCAGCGCTCATCACTCAACAGCAAAAAGTTTATTTCTAGAAATTTACATTTTTAAAAATTTATTTAGTTTATTTTATTTTTATTGACGTATACACATTCATGGGACACAGAGCTGACCGTCAGCACCTGTGTCCAGAATGTGATGATCAGGTCAATGCTGTCAGCATGCCTAGTACCTCAGATTGCAGGTATTTCCTGTGTCCCCAACACAGCCTCTCCCTCCTCCCCCTGCCTACCCTGTGTCTGTTCTCTCCCTTTGCAAGCCCAACACACCACTGTGGTCTTTCTTTCCTTCTTTCTCTCTTTGCTCCCACTTATGAATGAGGACATGTGATATTTCTTTCTGTGCCTGGCTTATTTTACTCAACATAATTTTCTCCAAGTTCATCCATGTTGCTGCGATGGCAGTATATCATTCTTTTTTATGGAAGAGTAACAATATTCCATGGTGTGTATAGACCACATTTTTCTTATCCAGTTGTCCATGGTTGGACATTTAGGTTGGTTCCGTGTCTCGGCTATTGTGAGCAGAGCTGCGACGAACACAGGAGTGCAGGGATCCCTTTGACATGATGATTTCCATTCCTTTGGGTCTATGCCCACACGTGGGATTGCTGGATCGTACAATAGTTCCATCTGTAGTTTGAGAAACCTCCGTGCTGTTTTCCATAGTGGCTGTACTGTTTTACAATCCCACCAACACGTTTTCTATTCTCTGAAGCATTTGATTTAAATTCCAGTATGGCCATACCTCTTTTTTTTCACACCTGAGTTTCACCTATGAATGCAAGATTTCATTACCTTGCATGATTGTGATGACAAGCACAACTGGTTTGGGAGCAGACAGCTGCTCCGTGTGAGCACAGTTCCATAGGAGGGGCATGAGGACGCTGGAGGCCAGAGGGGAACCCCCAGCCTGATCACTCAGCAGGCTGCGGACTTGCCCAGTGAGCTCTGCAGAAGGACCCTGGGGCTGGAGGGAGGTGGGTTTGGGGCTCAGAGGTTGACCTAAAACAGGTATTTTTGGGCCACCAGCTCTGATCTGCGTACGAGTTTCCAAGTCCCATCAGCACAAGTGTGTTAAACAGAGCCGCTTTTGCTTGGGCCTGGGAAGCACCATAGCTCCCTAAGCAGGGGTCCAAGTTCACCTCAGATGGCAGATTCCTGACGGGCCCGTCTGTGCCCCACAGGCCAGACAGTGCTCGTCACCGAGGACCTAGAGGATGCAGACGTGCAGGAGGGCTCCTCAGCTACTTTCTGCTGCCGTGTGTCCCCTGCTGACTACGGGCCAGTGCACTGGTTCCTGGATAAGACCCCTCTGCATGCCAGTGAGCTCAATGAGATTGAGGTCCAGCCTGGGGGCTACCACATACTTACCCTGCGGCAGCTGGCGCTCAAGGACTCGGGCACGGTTCACTTTGAGGCAGGCGACCAGCGGACCTCAGCCAACCTGCGGGTCACTGGTAAGTTGTGTGCCTGCGGGACCAGGATAGTGGTGGGTGTCACCAGATAGCCTGTGTTGCTCAGTAGTGTGGTCTCTGCCTATGGGGTGAGGGCTCAGATCCCAGGGAGGTGAGCTCGGAAGACTGAGCGGAACCTTTTAAGGATGAATTGTTTCTACATGGTGTGCAGAATTTGTGGCCAGTGTGGCATGGATTGGCTGTGTCCCCGCTGGGGTGGGAACCATGCAGACCCTTCCCTGTCCCCTCGACAGAACTTTCTTTTTTTTTAGCATCTGGTGGTATGGGGATCCAAATCCTTGACCTTGGTGTTATAACACTATGGTCTAACCAATTGAGCTAACCAGCCAGCCTGTGACAACCCCCTCTGTCGCACCAGCCTGAGGTCGTCCGGTGGCAGTTGACCCAGGGTGTTACCTCATCTGCAGAAAGATCCGGGGTTGACCCCCGTTAGCCCTTGAGCAGCAGCGCAGTAGCCCACATGCACCCTGTGCTCCTCCCTCTGTCCCCCAGAGAAGCCAGCCGTCTTCTCCCGGGAGCTCTCAGATGCCACAGTCACAGAGGGCGAGGACCTGACCCTCGTCTGTGAGACCACCATTCCAGACAGCCCCGTGTGCTGGACCAAGGACGGGAAGGTGCTGCGGCCATCTGCCCGGTGCCAGCTGACCTATGAGGGCCGCCGGGCCCAGCTGGTCATCACAGGTGCCACCGTGCAGGACGGTGGGCGCTACAAGTGTGAGGCCAGTGGGGCCGGGAGCAGCTCCATCGTCAGGGTCCACGGTGAGCCCCCCAGGCAGGGCGTGGTTCAGGCGCCTGTGCCTGTCATCTTGCACAGGCGGATGTGGACTTGGGGTGAGGGCTGCCCACAAGGAGCCACACACAGAGGGCTCTCTATTAGCGCCCACGCTAATGACCTCATTGTAACCTAAATATGCTTTTAAAAGGCTGTATCCCCAGTCACATCCTGAGGTCCTGGGTTAGGGTTTCAATGTACGGATTTTGGGGGACACAGGTCAGCTCATAACACTCAACCCTGCCGTCTGCTGCTGTGCGGTTTGCTTTTCTGCTCACATTTTCTGACGCAGTAGTCTTAGGGTCACTGCCACTGGTCCCCAGTGTAGAAGCAGCAAGCCGTGCCTGCCTGCTGCCCCTAGCCCTCCACCCCCGGGGGGACCCCAGGTGGTGTCTTGGATGGGGAGGGCGAGCTGAGCCCATGGCTGTCCGCAGCTCGGCCAGTGTGGTTCCGGGAGTCCCTGAAAGACACGGAGGTGCTGGAGAGTGGTGCCGTGACTCTGCGCTGCATGCTGTCGTCTGTGGCTGCACCCGTGGAGTGGCGCCGGGGAGACGACATCCTGAGGCCCGGGGGCAAATACAGGCTGCGCCAGGAGGGCGCCCTGCTGGAGCTGGTGGTCCAGGACCTGCAGCCCCAGGACAGTGGGAAGTACTCATGCTCCTTTGGGGATCAGACGACCTCCGCCACACTCACCGTGAAGGGTAGGCGTTCCGTTGCCCTGCCCACATGGCCCCATGTGGCCCCTTCGTCCAATTTAGGAGAATGAAGACTGTGCTCTCTGTGTCTGTCTGCTTTGTTTCAGCCCTGCCTGCCCAATTCATAGGAGGACTAAGAAACAAGGAGGCCACCGAAGGGACCGTGGCCACAATGAGGTGTGAGCTGAGCAAGGAGGCCCCTGTGGAGTGGAGGAAGGGGACAAAGACCCTCAGAGATGGGGACAAATACAGCCTGAGGCAGGACGGGGCTGTGTGTGAGCTGCAGATCCGTGGCCTGGCTGCGGCAGATGCTGGGGAGTACGCGTGCGTGTGTGGGCAGGAGAGGAGCTCGGCCACGCTGACCGTCAGGGGTAAAGACCGTGTGGCCAGTAGATCCACATTCTGCTGTCCAAGTGCTGGCTTCCTGCTGCCTGTCTCCGTTCATTTCATGTTCTTTTGGCTACGCATGGGATTTTTTCCAGCTGCCTGGGCTGTTGTCCACATCTCGAGACACCAGTTTCTGTAGCCAGGTTCCCACCCCTCGTGCCACCGCAGATTCTGTCCTGTTGGATTCTGTGTGTTGTCCTCTGTCTTGTACCCCAGTGCTCTCTAGAGAGTCTGATGCTCTCTGTGTGTGACCTTGTTGCAGCTCTGCCTGCCCACTTCATAGGAAGACTAAGAAACAGGGAGGCCACAGAAGGGGACACGGCCACGCTGCACTGTGAGCTGAGTAAGGCAGCCCCTGTGGAGTGGAGGAAGGGGCCTGAAATCCTCAGAGAAGGGGACAGATTCAGCCTGAGGCAGGATGGGGCTGTGTGTGAGCTGCAGATCCATGGCCTGGCCGTGGCGGACGCTGGGGAGTACGTGTGCGTGTGTGGGCAGGAGAGGACCTCGGCCACGCTGACCGTCAGAGGTAAAGACCGTGTGTGGCCGTGTGGGCCCATGGCTGTGTGTCAGCACTTTTTCATGTCCCTTCTCTGCCCCCATCTGTGCTTCAGTCCCTGCCTTTCTGTGTGTGTGTCTCCTTCACTTCTTCAGCCTGTCTTTCACGTGTTATGTGGGATGTGTCCTGAGAGCTAGAAAAGGCAGAACACAAGGGGTCCTTCCCAGCTGCTGCTGGGGTCACAGCCCGGGGTAGAGATGACAAGTAGGAAACATGGAATTCAGGTCCTTGCAGGCAGCACACCAGGAAAAGGAATTAAAGGTGAGAGAGAACAAGTCCAGGAGGCAGGAATGTCAGAGAGGAGGTTAGATGGGAGGGCAGCCAGGGCACATGTGCCAGGCATGGGAGGCGAGGGCGCGGCGTGGGTGACACAGAGGCGAGGGTGTGACATGGTGCCCAGCGAGTTGGAGGTGAGGGTGTGTGGGACGTAGTGAAGGCGAGGCCTGTCCTTTAGTTGTCCCCCTGGTTGTGGTCTTGGAGTCTTGGGGCACACTTGCTGACCTCGGTTCTGGTGGCCCTGCTGTCAGCTCCCATCTGTGTCTATTGCTCATGTGGTGTGCGAGGCCCTGTGTGCGTCTACAGGCTGCTGAGTCTGTGTGTCCCTTGTCTTTCCCATTTCTTCTCAGTCCTCACCGTAGAGTTGAGAAAAGGTCTGGGGCCTGAGTGGGTCACAGAAGGGGCCACAGCCACAATGGCATGTGACCTGTGGAGTGCAGGAAAGAGCCCAAGATCCTCAGAGATTGAGACAGGTACAGCCCGAAACACAATGTACTGGGGACTCGCGGCCTGGCTGTGGGTCCTGGGGAGTCTTGTGTGTGTGGAGTTAGCAGCGACCTTGGCTGGAGCTGGGCCCACCAAGGAGGTGAGGCTACTGGACCTGGTTCCCGAGCCCATGATCTCACGGTCATGTCAATAGGGCCGTGGGAGAACTTGGGTCATTTTCTTCACGGGAAGTGGATGGAATGAACACAGACATTGATGAAGGGCCTGGGGTATCTCAGGCAGAGCGGATGGAAAGACACCTCTGCAGGCTTGAGAGGTGTCCTGTTGAGGACGCTGGTGGGCTCCACTCACATGACAAGGATGGACTCCCCAGGGCAGCAGAGGACAGGGTTCTGTGGCCAGGCGTGGCCACCCCTGCCTGTAGCAGGCGGTCCTTGCTCTGTGCACAACGTGCATACCTCTGTGGAGAGGCCTGGCTGCCACGCCATCTTGGGCTGCAGGAACAGGGCACAGCATCCGTAGCATGGAGGCACCAGATCCTCACGCCGTCAGACCTGCCAAGAGACCACAGAGAGTTGTGGGCTCTGAGGCCCATCATGTGGGTGCAGCACGTTGGAAAGAGACCGCACAGGAAGCTGCTCCCTCACTCGACTCCAGGAGGTGCCACCAATGTCCAAGGAACCAGGGTGGCCTGGCTGCCAGCCAGGGTGGTAGATGTCTTACCCAGACCACATGTGGACCCCCTTAGAGGATACTGAGCAGAGGACATCTGCGTGTTTGGAAGTTACCACTGGACCACAAAGTCCCACAGGTGCCCTGAGCCACTTGCCTCCAAGACATCTAGGGGGCTGGAGCTGGGCACCCCGGGGGCCCCAATCTCGGGCTGGCAGGCAGGGGAGGCCACCCAGCCTCAGTGCACAGCAGCCAGGAGCCAGCTGCCTCCTCCCTCCCTCTGATCTTGGCGCCTCCCACGTGCTCCCGTGTCTGGGTGGGTTGCTCCTGCATTTGTTCATTTGCTCATTTCTTCATGCACTAGGCTCAGGCATCAGGGAACCTGTCACACGTGGGCTCTGCCTGCACCGAGAACACAGGGTGACATTCCAGGAGGACGGTGGCACTCTCTTCCCTCCTGGCCGGGGTGGTCACTGTTTCTGGTCTGTCCTGGTCAGTGTGGGACTCTGGCCTCAGGAGCATCAGGAAGCAATGAAAAGCAGGCACTGGTGGGACCACGTGGGAGAGGTTGAGGCAGCCTGTTCTGTGTCTCCTTCCTCCAGCCATCCACCAAGATGACAAGACAACTGTAAAACAGAGCCACAGAGGGGTCCATGGCCAAAGCGTGGTGTGAGCTGAGCAGCCTGCCTGAGCCTGGGTCCTGGGGGGTCAGATACAGTCTGAGCCAGGACGGGCCACGGGAGATCCTGGGAAGGGAGCTATCCCTTCTGGTCGCCGCCTCTGCCTGTCTGTTCCATGGGTCCCATGGCCATTTCCATGTGCCTGTCCTCATCCCAAGGTCCTCACTGAGCATCGCAGCTCCTCCATAGCCTTCCTCGCTGGCCTTGGCCTGGATGGGCACCACTGGACGGTCCTGTGCTTCTGCGGCACCGTTTCCAGTCCACTTGTCATGTCACCAGGCTTTTAGCCTGTTCCCTTCAGAGTGTGTCTCATTGTTGAGTGTCCATGTCATGTCTCCCAACATTCTCTGGAGAGCCTGATGCTCTTTGTGGCCTCCGCAGCCCTGTTAGCCAGGTTTATAAAGTATATAAGGCTTGAGGAGGCCACGGAAGGAGCCATGGGGAAATGTTGACAGGCTGAACCAAGGGAAGCCACAGTTCGCAGAATGCCTCTCATATCGTGTCTGTGCCCAGTGTCCAGTTGGGGTTAGTGTATTTGCCATGCTGTCCAAGTCCTGTCGCTTGCATGTGCTCGGTGTGATTGTGTCCATGTCCTTCTGATCCTCACCAGCCCTGCCTGCCAAGTTCACAGAGGGTCTGAGAAATGAAGAGGCCACAGAAGGGGCCACGGCCACGCTGCATTGTGAGCTGAGCAAGAAGGTCCCCGTGGAGTGGAGGAAGGGGATGAAGACCCTCAGAGATGGGGACAAATACAGCCTGAGGCAGGATGGGGCCGTGTGTGAGCTGCAGATCCGTGGCCTGGCCATGGCAGATGCTGGGGAGTACTCGTGCGTGTGTGGGCAGGAGAGGACCTCGGCCACGCTGACCGTCAGGGGTAAAGACCTCACATGGCCAAGTAGTTTGGATGTCCACATGCTGACTTCCTGCTGTCCACTTTCACTCATTCCACGTTCTGTCCCGGTGTCTCCGCCACCCTCTACCCGTCACTCTACCTGTCACTGCATGGAATCCCTTCACCTTCTTGGGCTGCCGTGTGAACAGGAGACAGCAGCATCTGTAGCCAGCCTCCCACCCCTCGTCCCACCATGGTTCTGTCTTGTGGTCCTGTAGGATTGTGTGTCTTGCCTTCAGTTCTGTCATGTCCTGTCACCCAACATTCTGGAGAGAATCTGATGTTCTCCACGTATTTTTGAACTTCTCCGGCCCTGTGTGCTCGATTCATATAAAGTATGAGACCTGAGGAGGCCACAGAAGGGCACAGCCACCATGTTAACAGGCTGGACCGACAGAAGCCACAGTCCACAGCCTGTGCTCAGCACACCCCGCACATGGCCCGTGTGCAGTAGGGTTTTGTGTCTTCTCTGTGCCATCCACGTCATGTGTCTTCCATGTGCTCAGAACGTGTGATAGTGTCTGTGTCTTTCTGATCCTCCTCAGCCCTGCCCGCCAAGTTCACAGAAGGTCTGAGGAATGAAGAGGCCACAGAAGGAACCACAGTCACACTGCAGTGTCAGATGAACAAGACAGCCCCTGTGGAGTGGAGGAAGGGAACAAAAACCCTCAGACAGGGGGAGAGATATAACCTGCAGCAGGACGGGGCCGTGTGTGAGCTGCAGATCCGTGACCTGTCCGTGGCGGACGCTGGGGAGTACTCGTGCGTGTGTGGGCAGGAGAGGAGCTCGGCCACGCTGACCGTCAGGGGTAAAGACCGCGTGTGGCTGTGTAAACCTGTGGCTTTGCACCTGCACGTTGTCTTCACATTACCACTTCCTGCCTTTAAGTGTGGCTCAGCTCCTGTGGTGACACCACGGGCATCTGTCCACTAACTGGGATCCTCCGGGCATCTCCCACCTCCCATTCTCCTTGTCAGGTGTCCCATGTTCCTGTCCAACCAATTGTGTCGTCTGTTCCTCCCAGGCCGTTTGCTTCTCTCACCATCTGCACATTCATTTATTTGCTCACGTTGTGGTCCTTTTTCAGCGTATGTGGCTCCTGTGGTTTCTGTGTCCTGTACACAGAGTCCTCCTGACAATTCAGTGTTCTCAGTGACTGCTTGGCCCTTCCCAGCCCTGCCTGCCAGATTCATAGAAGATGTGAGAAGCCAAGAGGCCACGGAAGGGGACACAGCGACGCTGAGGTGTGAGCTGAGCAAGGCAGCCCCTGTGGAGTGGCAGAAGGGAACAGAGACCCTCAGAGATGGGGACAGATACAGCCTGAGGCAGGATGGGGCCGTGTGTGAGCTGCAGATCCGTGGCCTGGCCGTGGCAGATGCTGGGGAGTACGCGTGCGTGTGTGGGCAGGAGAGGACTTTGGCCACGCTGACCGTCAGGGGTAAAGACCGTGTGTGGCCGTGTGTGCACATGTATAGGTTGTTGTCACATCACCACCTTCTGCTTCTAAGTTTGGCTCAACTCCTATGGTGATCCTGTGGGTTTCTGCCCACGAATTGGGGTCCTCTGGGCATCTCTCCCCTCTCCTCCTCATCCATAAGATGTCCTCATGTTCACGTCGTTGCCCCTTGGCCATGTGCTTTTCTTGCCATCTGTGCATTTGTTCTTGTTCACGTCATGGTCCTTTGGCAGTGTGTGTGGCTCCTGTGGGTTGCTGTGTCCTGCACACAGAGTCTCCTAGACAGTCAGATGTTCTCAGTGACTGCTTGGTCCTTCCCAGCTCTGCCTGCCAGATTCATAGAAGACGTGAGAAGCCAAGAGGCCACAGAAGGGGACACGGCCGTGCTGCGGTGCGAGCTGAGCAAGGCGGCCTCTGTGGAGTGGAGGAAGGGGACGAAGACCCTCAGAGATGGGGACAGATACAGCCTGAAGCAGGACGGGGCCGTGTGTGAGCTGCAGATCCGTGACCTGGTTGTGGCAGATGCTGGGGAGTACTCGTGCGTGTGTGGGCAGGAGAGGACCTCGGCCACGCTGACCGTGAAAGGTAATGACCTTGCATGGGCACCTGAGTGCCTTCTCTCTTTTCCTACCTGACTTACGTGGTCTGTGCTCTTCTGTGTCTCTCAAGGTATTTGCCATCTCATTTCCACAGCCACTCTTCTGATTCAGTGAGGACTCACGGTTTGGACTAGTCTAGGCCCTGGAGCTAGAGACCCCAGTGGTGAATAGTGCAGGGGCCCAGTGAGGCACCAGTGGACATGCGTCAGGGTGTAGGAGCGCTTGCCTGGTGCCACTGGCATCTTGCTGGAGTCTGTGGATATGCCCGGGCTCTCGGAGGTGGATATGCCCAGGCACGGAGGTGATGGCATGTGTGTCCTTTGAGCAACATGCACAGCAATGTTGGGAGCCCAAAATGAGGTGGCCAGGCAGGCTAGGACCCGCTGAATCTGTTGAGAGCGATTGACTTTGGGGAATGTGCCAAGCTTCTGAAGAGGTGCTGCCTCAGTCTACTGAGGTTGCCATAAAGTACCATGGACTGGGTGGCTCAAACAACACAAATTTATTTTGTCACCATCCTGGAGGCTGGAATTCCAAGATCAAAGTGTTGGCAGGGCTGGTTTCTCTTGAGATTTCTCTGCTTGACTTGTAGACAGCCATCCTAATATCCTTCTCTTATAAGGACACTAGTCCTATTGGATCAGGGCCCACCCCGGGGGACCTCATTTTAACTTAATTCTTTTTATAAAGATCCTATTTTGAAATACATCCTGAGGTATTGGGGGTTAGGACCTCAACATATGAATTTTTGGAGGGACATAGTTCTGCCCGTTGCACTTGCCCTCTGGCCTCCCATAATTCATGTTCTTCTCCTATGCAAAATCCTTTCACCCCATCCCAACAGCCCCAAAGTCTTAATCCATTCCGGCACCGATTCTGTGTCCCAAATCTCATCTCAGTATTATCTAAGTCTGTGTGAGGGACACTAGAGGTATGATGGATCCTGAGGCAAAATTCCTCTCTAGTCATGAACCTGTGAAATCACAGGTATGTGCTTCCAAAACAATCACAGAACAGGCACAGGATAGACATTCTTGTTCAAAAAGGGGGAATTTGGAAAGAAGAAATGGGTCACGCATCCCAAGCAAGTCTGAAACATCAAAGGGCAGATTCCATTAGGTGATAAGGTTAGAGGATAATTTCCTTTGGCTCATAGGTCTGTCCTGCAGACTGACCAGAGTTGCAGCTCCACTTCCTTGGCCCCGGGTGGCCACCTGACCCCCTCGTCCTTGATTGGAGGTGGCCTGGCTCTCTGGGCCAGTGGCATTCCTGCCCACTTCTGAACCACGTTTGGGGGTCATTCTTGCCTTTTCTTGAAGGATAACACACGCTTGCAGCTGGATAGCTCTACTGGGTCACCTTTTCGAATCCCAGAAGTTTGACAGCCTTCCTTAGTTTTGTCCCATCTGTTATTTTTAGTCCAAGTGAGTAGTGTTTCTGTTGGTATAAAATTCACAAAACCACTGTCCTCCCAGGCAATTCATGGGGCTTCAAGTTATCAGATCAGAGGGTCCTATACAGATCTTTCCTGTATCATTCTCTCTCTATTCCTGGCTTCTGCTGAGAAGGCTGATTGGATCCATAAATCACACACCTATTCTCTTTACCACTTGATTGCCTTGCCGTAATTTTGGTATTCTTCCCAGAACACATGTTCTAATCTTTGCAATATGGTTAGGTGAAGATTATCTAAATCTTTAATTTCTGGTTTCTGCTTGCTTAACAATTTCTTCTTCCGTCTGTCTTGCTGCTCTCACATTTTACTACAAGTAGCAAAGAGAAACCAAGCTGGGCCTTTCATCACTTTGCTTAGAAATCTCCCCAGCTAAACATCTAATTTCATTGTTTCCAAATTCTGCCTGGCACAAAGCACTAGAACACAGTTTGGCCAAATTCTTTGCCACTTTATAACAAGGATCATCCTTCTCATGTTTTCCAATAACATGTTCCTCGTTTTCATCTGAGGCCTGACCAGAAGCACTTTTAATGTCTGTATTTCCATCAGTAGTCAACTCATGGCAGTTAGGCTCTTTCTCACATGCACCTCAAAATTCTTCCAGCCTCTAGCCATTACCCGGTTCACTAGCTACTTCTGCATTTTTAGATGTTTGTTGTGGTAGCACCCCACTCATGGTACTATATATATATATATATATATATATATGGTAGCCTGGGCTACCACAACAAAGAACCACAGACTGGGCCACTTAAATGGAAGAAACTTGTTTTCTGACAGTCCCAGAGGCTTGTAGTTTGAGGTCAAGCTTTTGGCGGGGCTGGTTTCTTCTGAGGCTTCTCTCCTTGGCTCATAAATGACCATCTTCTCTCTTTATCTTCACCTGGTCTCCTTCCGTGTGTGTCCTTACCTCCTCTCCTTATAAGGACACCAGTCAGATTGGATTAGGACGTACCCTTGTGACCCCATTTATCTTAATCACTTCTTTGAAGACCCTATCTCCAAATACAGTCACATTCTGAAGCAGTAGGAATTAGAACTTCAACATATGAATTTTGGGGGACACAGTCACCTGTAACCCGGTTAGTTGTATCTTATGAAGCTCCTGCTCTTCCTGGAGTCAGAGGGGAAGTATGGCATGTGAGAGGACAAAGGGAGTGGCTAGGAGGCCACAGCTGGAGTGCGGTGGGGTGTACGCGATGTGACTCAAGGAAGTGGCAGCAGTGGGTAAAACTGGGGGTCCAGTAGGGTCAGAAAGGAAAGTGCGAGGGGGAGGAGGCGAGGCTTCACGCGGCCTGGGGTGGTGTGCACTATGCCCAACTGTGTCCAGGCGCAGGCGGTGCTGAATGGGTGCCCTGCCTGGGATAGTGTCTCTTCAGTAAGGCACGACTTTGGGGCAATGGATATGACTGGGAAGTGCCTCCTGTTTCAAGTCACAACTCTTGTATGCAACAAAGTCATGGATGTCCCCTGAGGGAGGTGGCCATCGCTGTGTTGTATACGTGGGTTGCGAGGTGGAGGGGCCTGTCTTGCTTTGGGCAGTGAGAAGTTATGCGTAGGACAAGATACCCTTTGAGAAGAGATTTGGGATAGAGCTCATCTCCTGGCCAACCTTCACCTTGGCAGGCAGAAGGCAGGAAGACCTCACAGTCACTCCTTGGTCTGCATCTTCCTGCATCCCTCCAGCTTGCCTGGTTCTGTGTCCACCTGGATGTTTAGGCTGGGTCCCCAAATACTCCAGAGGGTTTAATGTTTTCTGTCCATCTGACCCTTCCTAGCCCTGCCTGCTCGATTCATTCAAGATCTGAAGACCAAGGAGGCCACAGAAGGGGCCACGGCCACGCTGCATTGTGAGCTGAGCAAGAAGGTCCCCGTGGAGTGGAGGAAGGGGACGAAGACTCTCAGAGATGGGGACAAATACAGCCTGCGGCAGGATGGGGCCGTGTGTGAGCTGCAGATCCGTGGCCTGGCCGTGGCAGACGCTGGGGAGTACTCGTGTGTGTGTGGGCAGGAGAGGAGCTCGGCCACGCTGACCGTCAGGGGTAAAGACCTCACATGGCCAAGTAGTTTGGATGTCCACATGCTGACTTCCTGCTGTCCACTTTCACTCATTCCACGTTCTGTCCCGGTGTCTCCGCCACCCTCTACCTGTCACTGCATGGAATCCCTTCACCTTCTTGGGCTGCCGTGTGAACAGGAGACAGCAGCATCTGTAGCCAGCCTCCCACCCCTCGTCCCACCATGGTTCTGTCTTGTGGTCCTGTAGGATTGTGTGTCTTGCCTTCAGTTCTGTCATGTCCTGTCACCCAACATTCTGGAGAGAATCTGATGTTCTCCACGTATTTCTGAACTTCTCCGGCCCTGCGTGCTCGATTCATATAAAGTATGAGACCTGAGGAGGCCACAGAAGGGCACAGCCACAATGTTAACAGGCTGGACCGACAGAAGCCACAGTCCACAGCCTGTGCTCAGCACACCCCGCACATGGCCCATGTGCAGTAGGGTTTTGTGTCTTCTCTGTGCCATCCACGTCATGTGTCTTCCATGTGCTCAGAGAGTGTGATAGTGTCTGTGTCTTTCTGATCCTCCTCAGCCCTGCCCGCCAAGTTCACAAAAGATATGAGAAATGAAGAGGCCACGGAAGGGGACACGGCCATGCTGCGGTGTGAGCTGAGCAAGGTGGCCCCTGTGGAGTGGAAGAAGGGAACAGAGACCCTGAGAGATGGGGACAGATACAGACTGCGGCAGGATGGGGCCGTGTGTGAGCTGCAGATCCGTGGCCTGGCCATGGCAGACGCTGGGGAGTACTCGTGTGTGTGTGGGCAGGAGAGGAGCTCGGCCACGCTGACCGTCAGGGGTAAAGACCGTGTGTGGCCACATGGAGCTGTGACTTGGTGTCTACACGTTGTTGCCGTGTGAAAACATTCTGCTTCCAAATGCGGCTAAGCTGCTGCGGTGACTTTGTCATTGTCTCTCCACTACCTGGTTCCTCTGGGCACCTCCCACCCCCTCTTCTCCTCCTCAGGAGATGTCCTCATGTTCGTGTCCGTTTTTGTGTGTCCTCTGTTGCTCCTGGGCCACGTGCTTCCCTCGCTATCTGTTCGTTTGTGTCTTGTTCATGCCGTGGTCCTTTGGCAGTCCGTGGCTTCTGTGTGTTTCTGTGTCCTGTACACAGAGCCCACCAGATAGCGATTTTCTCATCGACTGCTTGGCCCTTCCCAGCCCTGCCCCTAGATTCACAAAAGATTGAGAAGACAAGAGGTTATGGAATGGGCCATGGCCACAATGTTAACAGGCGTGACCAACAGAAGCCACAATCCATAGCCTGTGCTTGGCGCACCTAACACAGCCCATGTGCAGTAGGGTTTTGTGTCTTCTCTGTGCCATCCACGTCCTGTGTCTTCCGTGTGCTCAGAAAGAGTCATTGTGTCTGTGTCTTTCTGATCCTTCGCAGCCCTGCCTGCCAAGTTCACAAAAGGTCTGAGTAATGAAGAGGCCACAGAAGGGACCATTACCACGCTGCAGTGTGAGCTGAGCAAGGCGGCCCCTGTGGAGTGGAGGAAGGGGACGAAGACCCTCAGAGATGGGGACAGATACAGACTGAGGCAGGACGGGGCCGTGTGTGAGCTGCAGATCCGTGGCCTGGCCGTGGCAGATGCCGGGGAGTACGCGTGTGTGTGTGGGCAGGAGAGGAGCTCGGCCACGCTGACCGTCAGGGGTAAAGCGTGCTTGTTGCTAGTAGATCCGTGTTCAGATGTCCGAGCACTGGCTTCCTGCTGTCGGTCTTCGTTCGTTCTGAGCTCTCCCATCTCTGTCCCCCTCCTTACATCACTTCTGGAATTTCTTTCGGCTTCCTGGGCTATTGTACAAATCAGGAGCTAGCATCTGTAGCCAGCTTCCCACCCCTTGTCCACCTCAGGTCTGTCCTGTTGGATTCTGTGTCTTGTCCTCTGTCCCGTCCCTCAGTATTTTCCAGAAGATCTGATGTTCTCTGTGTCTGTCCGAACTTGTTGCAGCTCTGCCTGCCCACTTCATAGGAAAACTGAGAAACAAGGAGGCAACAGAAGGGGACACGGCCACGCTGCGGTGTGAGCTGAGCAAGGAGGCTCCTGTGGAGTGGAGGAAGGGACCTGAGACCCTCAGAGATGGGGACAGATATAGCCTGAAACAGGATGGTGCCATGTGTGAACTGGAGATATGTGGCCTGGCCGTGATGGACACTGGACAGTACTCGTGTGTGTGTGGGCAGGAGAGGACTTCAGCCATTCTGACTGTCAAGGGTAAAGACTGTGTGGCCACGTGGACACGTGGCTTGGTATCAACATGTTGTCTTTGCATCACCAGCTTCTGCTTACAAATGTGGCACGGCTTCTGTGGCAACTTGTGGTTGTCTGTTTTCTATTTGGGGTCCTATGGGCATCTCTCGCCTCCCTTATTCTCATTCAGGAGATGCCCTCAGGTTCGTGCTTATCCCTTTGTGGGGCCCTCCTGGGCCATGTTCTTCCTTCAGCATCTGTGCATTTGTTCTTTCATTTATGTCGTGGTCTGTGGCAGTGTGTGTGGCTCCTGTGGGTTTCTGTGTCCTGTACACACACAATCTTCTCAGTGTTCTCAGCGACTGCTTGGCCATTCCTAGCCCTGCCTGCCAGATTTATAGAAGATGTGAGAAGCCAAGAGGCCATGGGAGGGGCCACAGCTACACTGTGGTGTGGGCTGAGCAGGGCAGCTCCCACGGAGTGGAGGAAAGGAATGAAGACTGTAAGAGATGGAGACAGACACAGCCTGAGGCAGGCCGGGGCCGTGTGTGAGCTGCAGATCCGTGGCCTGGCCGTGGCAGATGCCGGGGAGTACGCGTGTGTGGGGGGCAGGAGAGGAGCTCGGCCACGCTGACCGTCAGCGGTAACGACTATGGGCGGCCACCTGAGTGCCTTTTCTCTTCTCCTACCTGACTCACGTGGTCTGTGCTCTTCTGTATCTCTCAGTGTCATTCTCATCTCATTCTCACCATCCTGGTCTGTGATTCACTCCACAAAGGCACACTGAGGACCCACTGATTTGGACCAGTCTAGGGCCTGGAGCTAGAGACTCCAGTGGTGAATAGTGCAGGGACCCCATGGAGGCACCAACAGACAGGAGTCAGGGTGCAGGAGAGCTGCCCAGGCCGCTGGCATCTTTCCAGGGACCGAGGATGTACCCGGGCTCTTGGGCTGCAGGCACGGGAGTGGGGGGTATGTGCACTGTTTGACAGATGTGCAGAGCAGAGTTGGGAGCTTCAGGCACAGGAGGTGGCCAGGCAGGCCAGGCCCTCCAGAATTTGGCAAGAGAGTTTGATTGATCCTTGGGGTCACGCCAAGCTTCTGCGGGAATGCTGCCTTCTGCTCAGGGTGCTGTAACAAAGTGCTGCAGGTGGATGTCTAAAACAGTAGAGATTATTTTCTCAGAATTGTGGAGACTGAAATTGCAAGATCAATGTGTTGGCTGCATAGGTTTCTCCCGAGATGACCTAGCTTCTAGACAGCCGTCTTCTCCCTGTGTTTTCACGTGGTCGTCCTCTATGTGTATGTCTGTGTCCTAATCTCTTTTATTAAGGACACCAGTCACATTGGATTAGGGCCCACCCTAACAACATCATTCTACCTCATAAAGGTCCTATTTTCAAATACAGTGACATTTGTAGGGGAGGGGGACAGATTTCAGGCCATAACACTCCACCCTCTGGCTTCCCAAAATTTATGTTCTTCTCGCATGCAAAATACACTCACACCATCCTAACAGCCTGAAAGTCTTAAGCCATTTCAGCATCAGCTCTATGTGCAAATCTCATCTAAATATCATATAAATTAAGTGTGATGTGGGACTCACGCTAGTTAAAATTCCTTTCTGATTGTTAACTTATGAAACCAGAAAAGTTATGTGCTTCCAAAATACAGTAGTGGGACAGGCATAAAATAAATGTGCCTATTCAGAAATGGGGAAATTGGAAAGAAGGAAGAGGTGATGGGTCCCGAGAAAATCCGAAACCTAGCAGTGTAAATTCCATCTGATTTTAAGGCGGGAGAACATTCCTTTTTGTCTTAATGCTAACCAGGGTATTGGCCCCAATATCTTGGTCCCGGACGGCATCCTGCCCTCTCAGTTTTGGGCAACAGCCTCACCCCCTCATCCCTAGGAGAAGGAGCCAGGCTCTCTGGGCCTCTGTTGAGCAGTAATAGCCCTGCTGCTGATCTCTGAGTTGCCTTTGGGGGGTAATTCTTCCCACTTCTTGAAGGATGACACGTTTGCAGCCATATAGCTCTTTGCATCCATCCTGTAGAGTTTCAGAAGTCTGATAACCTTCCTTCATTTCATCCCATATCTGCCCCATGCAGTCCAATCTGGCTTCATTATGCTGGTATAAAGTTCTCAAAAATCTCGTTGGTCTCCTGTGCAATTCATGGGAGGTCAAAGCCATCAGACAAGAGGCTTCTCCATATATCTTTCCTGGATAATCCCATCTTTATCCCTGGCTTCTGCTAAGATGGCTGATTGGATCCATAAATCACCCATCCATAAATCATAAACTCTACAGCTTAGATGATGATTGGTTCAGCCACATCGTTGGTGTTCTCCAGAACACACTTTCTCATTTTTCTGCAATATGGATAGGCTAAAAATTTTCCAAAACTTCAAGTTTTTGTTTCTTTTTTGGTTATCATTTCTTCTTTTTAAAATTTTTTCATCTCACATTTTACTGTAAGAAGCAAGGAGAAACCTTCAAGGCTGCATCTTCAACTAAATATCCTCAGCAAAATATCCAACATTTTGTTGTTTCCAAGTTTTACCTTCCACAAAACACTAGAACGCAATTTGGCCTAGTTCTTTGCCATTTCATAACAAGGATCACCTTTCTTCCAGTTTCCAGTAACATGTTTTCATCTTCATTTGAGTCCTGACCAAAAGTAGCTTTAACATCCAGATTTCCACCAACACTCCTGGTGGTAGTGATAGAGTGTGGATGTGTCATCCTCCCAAAACTCATGTGGAAATCTGGTCCCCAGTGTGGCAGTGTTGGGAGCTGTTTGAGTCATGGGGGCGGATCCCTCATAAATGGATGAATGCTCTCCCTAGGGGTGGGGGTAGTGAGTGAGTTCTTGCTTTATTAGTTTTCGTGAGAGCTGGTTGTTTGTAGGACCCTGGCACCTCCCTCTTTCCCTCTTGCTTCCTCTCACCATATGATCTGCTTGTACCCGCTGGCTGCCTGCCACTTTCTGCCATGAGTAGAGGCAGCCTGAGACCCGTGCCAGATGCGGCTGTCCCAGAATCATAAGCTGAATAAACCTCTGTTCTTTATAAATTACCCAGTGTCACGTATTCTGTTACAGGAAAACACTAAAGTGGACTAATACACCTTCCTTTATGGAAATCTAGTTTTTTCTAACATGCCCCTCAAAAAATTTTCAGCACCTACCACTTAACAAGTTGCAAAGCCACTTCTGCATTTTTTAGGTAATTGTTACAACAGCGCCAAACTCCTGGCAACAAAATTTGTGTTAAGTTTGCTAGCTAGATGTCTGAGATAAAAATATCAAAAGAATTGGCTTTTTCTGAAGTCTGTTTGATTAGCTTGTAGACACCTGTCTTCTCCCTGTGTTTTCATATGGTCACCCCTCTGTGTGTGTCTATGTCCTAATGTCTTCTTCTTATAAAGACACTGATCATACTGATTTTGGGGCCCATCCTAACAACTCATTTTACTTTGATCACCTCTTTAGAGGCCCTATGTCTAAATACAGTCACATTCTGAAGTAGTTGGGGTTAAGACTTCAATGTAAGAGTTTTGGAGAACAGTCAGCCTGTAACAGAGTATCACCAGTGTGGGCCCTGTCGGCTGTAACTTTTGATTTCTCACTCGGCCTGGAGTTGGGAGGAAGGAGATGATGGCAGGTTGAAGGGTCAGAGCTGTGAGTAGAAGGCCACAGCTGGAATCCACTTGGGTCCAGGTGACATGAGCCAGGGAAGAGGCAGCAATGGGTGGGAGTGTGAGTCCAGTAGGGTCAGGACAGGAGTTTGGTAGGTGGGAAAGGCAAATGCCCATGTGGGCTGGGAAGATGTTCAGTCAGTGCAGGTATGTCCAGGCGTGGGCAGAGCTGGATGGAAGCTCTACCTAGGATGGGTATCATGTCTATGACAGGGCAGTAGATGTTGTGAGCACGATACCTCCTGTGGGTTCATAGGGAGAGATGTTCATCAGACTGTTGCATACATGGTTTGTGAGCTTGCTTAGCCAGTAGTGGAAGATCACGCGTAGTACAAGATGCCCTTTGAGAAGAAGTGTGGGATGAAGTCCATCTTTCATCCAACCTGCACCTTGATAGGCCCTCACCCTCAAGCACTCCTTGGTCTGCCTCTTCCCACTTCCCTCCACTCTACCTCCCGGTTCCGTGTCCACCTGGATGTTCAGGTCGGGTTTCTCAGATGCTGCAGAGGGTTTGATGGTTTCTGTCCATTTGACCCTTCCTAGCTCTTGCTCAGTTCACTCAAGATCTGAAAGCCAAGGAGGCTATGGAAGGGGCCACAGCCACGCTGTGGTGTGAGCTGAGCAAGGCAGCCCCCGTGGAGTGGAGGAAGGGGCCTGAGACCCTCAGAGATGGGGACAGATACAGACTGTGGCAGGATGGGGCCGTGTGTGAGCTGCAGATCCTTGACCTGTCCATGGCAGATGCTGGGGAGTTCCTGTGTGTATGTGGTCAGGAGAGGACCTCAGCCACACTGACCATCAAGGGTAAAGAGTCCATGTGGCCACGCGGGTTATTTGGTGGCTGCCCAAGTCCTCTCTTCTCTCTGTTCCCTTTGTTCTGTGTTCTGTCAAATCATTGTGTCCTCTCCACCCATCATGTCTGTTATCCCTGTCATGTTTCCTGAGGGGTCTGTGACATGTGCACAGTCTGAACCAAAGAAAGCCACAATGCCCAGCCTGTGCGTGGCACGCCTGGCATTTGGCCCGTGTGCAGCAGGGTTTTGTGTCTTCTCTGTGCCATCCACGTCATGTGTCTTCCATGTGCTCAGAGAACGTGAATATGTCTGTGTCTTTCTGATCCTCCTCAGCCCTGCCCGCCAAGTTCACAGAAGGTCTGAGGAATGAAGAGGCCACAGAAGGAACCACAGTCACACTGCAGTGTCAGATGAACAAGACAGCCCCTGTGGAGTGGAGGAAGGGAACAAAAACCCTCAGACAGGGGGAGAGATATAACCTGCAGCAGGACGGGGCCGTGTGTGAGCTGCAGATCCGTGACCTGTCCGTGGCGGACGCTGGGGAGTACTCGTGCGTGTGTGGGCAGGAGAGGAGCTCGGCCACGCTGACCGTCAGGGGTAAAGACCGTGTGTGGCTGTGTAAACCTGTGGCTTTGCACCTGCACGTTGTCTTCACATTACCACTTCCTGCCTTTAAGTGTGGCTCAGCTCCTGTGGTGACACCACGGGCATCTGTCCACTAACTGGGATCCTCCGGGCATCTCCCACCTCCCATTCTCCTTGTCAGGTGTCCCATGTTCCTGTCCAACCAATTGTGTCGTCTGTTCCTCCCAGGCCGTTTGCTTCTCTCACCATCTGCACGTTCATTTATTTGCTCACGTTGTGGTCCTTTTTCAGCGTATGTGGCTCCTGTGGTTTCTGTGTCCTGTACACAGAGTCCTCCTGACAATTCAGTGTTCTCAGTGACTGCTTGGCCCTTCCCAGCCCTGCCTGCCAGATTCATAGAAGATGTGAGAAGCCAAGAGGCCACAGAAGGGGACACAGCGACGCTGAGGTGTGAGCTGAGCAAGGCAGCCCCTGTGGAGTGGCAGAAGGGAACAGAGACCCTCAGAGATGGGGACAGATACAGACTGCGGCAGGATGGGGCCGTGTGTGAGCTGCAGATCCGTGGCCTGGCCGTGGCAGACGCCGGGGAGTACTCGTGCGTGTGTGGGCAGGAGAGGAGCTCGGCCACACTCACCGTCAGGGGTAAAGACCACGTGTGGCCATGTGGACACATCTGGGTGTCCTGCCTGCTTTGTGTCCACCCCTGGGCTGACACTGCCTGTTCACCATGGGTGCTCCTTTCTATTGTGCCCTGTGTTGGTTTTTTATGTCCCTCTGCTCCTGTGCCACAGCACTGCCCACTGTCCTTGTGTCTGATCTCCATCCAAATGTCCTCTGTGGCCTGGCACTGTGGTGAAGACAGAACTTCCACTTTTGCCACCCCCTTTGAATCAGCCCGTTTCCACCCTCCTGCATGTGAGCTTCTTGACATTATGCTCAGCCCAGGATTCTTTCTTAAGGGGGGAGTGTGCCATCCAGGGAGGGGGATACCCCACAGCTCTGGGCCCTGCATCCTGCCCTGATTCTCAGTGTGGCTCTGTGGGGCAAATAGTGCCTGCCTCATCTCAGGGTCTTGGTATATGGGGGATGCTGCCCTGCCATTGGGATCTGAGGGGACACAGCCCTGCACTGGGCTTTGTGGGAGGAACACAACCCCATCCTGGGGTCTGTCAGACACAGGCTTGTCTTGGTGTCTTGGGGACATGGCTCTACTCTGGTGTCTCCTGGGGAAACAGCCCTGCCCTGGGGTCTGGGAGGGACACAGCCCTTCCCTGGGGTTTGGTGGGGGGACACAGCCCTGTCCCAGTGTCTGAGGGGGAGACAGCCCTACCCTGGGCTCTGAGGTGGACACAGCTCTGCTGAGGGGGCTGTCCTGGACAGATCTCGAGCCCCCTTCCACTTTTCCCACCACCTCCCCATACTCTGGAAGCCCACTCAGACCCATGTCCCCCACTCCCAAGCCTGGGAATGTCTGTCCTGCAGAGGCAGGCCAGGTGTCAGGTGCCTTGGGGTGCGGGTCTCATGCTGACCCTGCCTCCCCTCGCCCCCTGACCCCAGCTCTGCAGGTGGTTTTCCGGAAGCCTCTGCAGAGCCTGCAGGCTGAGGAGGGTTCCACAGCCAGCCTGCACTGTGAGCTGTCCCTGTCCAACGCTGCCGTGGTCTGGAGCAAGGGCGGCCTGGAACTGCAGGCCGACGGGCGCCGGGAGCCATGGCAGCAGGGCCACGTGGCCGAGCTGGTTCTGCGGGACTTGCGCCGCGAGGATGCCGGCGAGTACACCTGCGCCTGCGGCTCCCAGGCTACCAGCGCCATGCTCACCGTCACAGGTCGGCGCCCCAGGCTGGCCTGCCCTGACACAGGCCCCCGGGAGTGGGGAGGATTCAGGCCCCAGGCTTCGGGCTGACTCTCAGGGCTGCATCCTCACCTGGTGGTCCTAGTTTCAGGGCTCGAGGCCATGCCCCCCTTCTCCATAGTTGCACCTGTGCAATCTCCCCCACCCCCATCTGTAGCTGTGCCCTTGGCCACTCAGGTCCCCCTTACCCCGTATAGGCTCCTGGCTCTGCCCCCCTCCCGGTAGCTGCCCCCCAAACACCGGTAGCCGCTCCCGGAGTTCGCCTCAGGCTCTGCCTCTGTGACCTTCTTTTTTTTTTCCTTTTTAAAAAGTTTTTTTTCCTTTTTTAATTTTTTTATTTTGTCACCATACAATGTGGTTGATTGTTGTGGCCCATTATCGAAACCTAAACAACCTCATATCTGTTTGCTTGTTGTATCAACTTCAAGGAATTGTAATTATTGTGTCTTCTTCCCTCTCCCCCTAGTTTATTTGTGTATTTATTTATTTATTTATTTTTAGCTCCCACAAATAAGTGAGAACATGTGGTATTTCTCTCTCTGTGCGTGACTCGTTTCACTTAATATAATTCTCTCTAGGTACATCCGTTTCACTTAATATTATTCTCTCAAGGTCCATCCATGTTGTTGCAAATGGCAGTATTTCATTCGTTTTTATAGCTGAGTAGTATTCCATTGTGTAGATATACCACATTTTCCGTATCCACTCATC